GTGCGCAGTGAATACCAAGATCTGTGTCCTGTGAGCCTGAGGTAGTGATCTCAGCCCCAGCTAGTGACCCTTTGGTCCACTCCCATGGAAGTGGTAAACTGAGACTCCAGGAAGCCAGAGTAAGCCAGGTCACACAGCTGTTGTTTTATTATTTGTTCATTGAATACATGGCAGAGATTGAATCCAGCTTCTCATAATTTGAACAATCTAAAAGATTTTTTTTTTCTTTCTGCTCCATAATCTATAAGTTCTCTCTTTGGCCATGCATCAAAGAAAGAACCTTCTAGAGCCTTCCAATGCTAGTCAATCCCAGCCCCCCACTTTGTGCTTCATTGAAGTTCATGGGCTTTTTCTATTTAAGATGCTGTTTAACAACCACAGTCATCAGAATTCTGTGCCTCTTCCCACCAAGTTATCCCCTTGATGCCAATCAACTATTCTGTGCCACTCACCCTGGCAGGGTGGGTGCCCCCAACACTTGGGCTACTCTGCTTTCCATTTGCCTGACCTCCTTGGGGCAAAAGCTGGTGTTAGCAGAGGAAATAGGGAGCAGGACTTCCTGACCCAGTCCCCACTTCAAAGAACACCACACAAGGCACCAGAGGGAGGGCGTAGTTAACTTCTTAAATTGCCAGCAGCTCCGACTTTCCAGAGGGTGGGAACTGCCTGGCAAAAAAGAGCAGTCCTTCCTGCACACTGAGTCCCATTGCGCAGCCAAGAGGAGGTGACCTCCGGCTGACCGTGTGCCGGGAGGCAGAGTGCCTGAGGCTGGAGCTGGTGCCAAGGGTAACCCAAACACAAGTGCTGGCCCTGCTCCCACCCCCATGCCTTCCTGGAACTCAGAGATCACCACAGAAATGTTTTCCCACAGCTTAGGGAGCCAAGGAAGGACATTCTGGGGACTCCGCCCACCTGCAGCAGCCTGGGCACCTAGACCTTAGGCTCCGCAGGGCTCCTGGACTGTAGCAGCCCATTCTGCTGGGCCCCAGGGAGTGGGCATGCTGGGGCTGAGGGGAGTCCCAACCCACCTACTTATACCAAGCTGCTAGGAGCTGCTAGTTGCAATGTGACCCAAAATGGTTGGGGTCCTGCTTCACCCCCACAGAGCTTCCTGTTAGGGTTCTGAGCTAGCCAAGTTCCTGAAGTTGCCTGTGAGAGTGCCCAGGAGTCCCTTTGCCCAGGGGCCACCTTGCATCCACACACACACTCCTACTCATCCCTTAAGGCCTTACGCAAAAACCCCTTCACTTCTCAGGGTTTCCAGGAGCTTTCTTTCCAAAGGTCTGCAAAAGCCATTGACCTCCCCTCAACTCTCTGAATTGGGCCTCTCTCTTTCACTGCCAAAAAGATTCCCTGATGAACTTCTCCAGCTCTACTGAGGCCAGCTGGGCTGTAGTCCAGCCTGCCTCTGTGCCCAGACTCTGTACCTCCTATTAGCTGCATCACCTTAAAGCAAGTTAGATTATAATTCTGTCTAGCACCAGCTGAGTACTCCGTAAGTGTCCACCACTACCTTGCTCATTATTAAAAAAAAAGTTAAAGTCATGGGACATAAATTTAAGCAAAAAAAAAATGTTCTTAGTGAAAATAAGGAGCTCAAGATCAAGAAAATGAGCAAGTCTCTGAGGGTCTAGAATCACTGATTTTGCACCAAGAAAAAGGCAGGGGTGCATCTGCGTGGCACAGCATGAGAAGGGTTCATTGCTGCCAGGCAAGCTCAGTGAGGCGCCTTCTGCTCTGGCTCCACTTCCCATGTGCTGGCAAGCATGGTCTTTTCTCTGCGATGAGCCGCTTAGTAGCATGACACTGAACTGGGGAGAGAAGCAGTCGAGCTGACTCAGAAGGTGCCACTGCCTTGAGCTGCTATTTGTCCCCCGCAGCCCAGGAAGGGTTCCTCTGCGTAAGCCCCTCTCTCTGAGATGGGCGCTGTGCAGCAATGGTGGGCAGTGTGGAGTTTATATGCAACACTCATGTCCTGAAGAGCTTGCTCCTCATGTTAGAAAGCTGGTGGCATGGGGTGGGGGAGTAGCAGTGGACAGAGTGGTTAAGCAATTTGACTGATAGCCTAGCAAGATGATGGACTTTCGACCTAGTTATCAGATCCACGTATTTCCTGAAGCTGTCCCATAGCCCTGACTTACACCTTGGGCTTGGTTTGAATGTGGTGATCTGTGGCTGGAAGTTTGAAAAACCCTCATGACAGGAAAAGAAGCAAATGTGATTCCAGGCAGTCTTTGTAGTGCAAATGATGTTGCCCATGGGGATGCTACACCTAGCATACAAAGTGGAATGATTTACCTATGTAGCAGGCAAGCATTTCTAACTGCAAAATATTTCATTAAGAAGAGAGGGTGTCCACTAGGATCATCGGTTTCTACACTGTAGCAGGCACTATTTCATTCAATAGACAGAACAGGGACTATTTGGGGAATGGTATCTGCCCCTGGTGGTTGCAACTAGAACATTTTAAGTTTTAATAATTAACAGCACATGTTTAACGTGTTCACTTTGCTACCTTTTGACATATGTATACTCTGAAATCATCACAACCAAAATAATGAACAGATCTATATGCCCCCAAAGGTCCTTTATGTCCATTTGTTCTTCCTGTCAACCCTACCACCCTGTCCTGTTGCAAGTAACCACTGATCTGCTTTCTATTACAGTAGATTAGTTTGCATTTTTTGTAGAATTTGTACAATGGATCATACAGTATGTGCTCATTTTTGTCTGGCTCCTTTCACACAACATAATTATTTTGAGATTCATCTTTGTCTGCATCATAGTCCATTCCTTTTCACTGCTGAGCAGCAGTCTTCACATACACACACCACTTTTGGTACATATGTTCACCTGTTGATATGCCTTTGCATTATTTCCAGTTTTTGCCTATTACAAATTAAACTGCTATGGACATTTATATGTAAGTGTTGGTAAAGGCAGATCCTTTTGCTTCTCTTGAATACATACATAGGAAGGGAATGGCCTTCCTAAGGCAAGTTATCTTTTAACATTGTAAGGAACTTCCAAATTCTTTTCCAAAGGGGGTGGATCATTCACATTGCCACTAGAAAAGTATCAGAGTTTCACTTGTCTCATATTTTCACCCACAAATGCTGATTTAAAAATTTGAACATTCTAGGGCCTCCCCTGGTGGCACAGGAAGTTGAGCGCTGTGCTGTGAAGCTGTCCACAGCCTCTGCAGCACCGGTTCAATCCCGGCCAGCCAGCGAGGGTTCCACATGGCACAGCAGACCTCTCGTCTCACCCGCTGCTCCCCTCAGCAATGTATTTCGTCAGTCTGCCTGTTCTGTTCCCCACTCTGTCTCTGGTGAATCCGCTCACTCTCCCACGCATCTGGCCTGTACCCTGGTTCTTGTATAAATAAATAAATCCTTAAAAAAAAATTTGAACACTCTAATGGGAGTGTAATTTGCATTTCTCTAATGGTTGGTAAGTATCTTTTTATGCTTGTTTATCACTGCTGTGTCTGTGGGTTTTGGCTCTTCAAAACTTAAGCAGAATTGCTATATGACCTAGCAATTTCACTCCTACATATATCTCTGACAGAAAACATATGCCGGCACAGTGGCTTGTACACAACTGCTCAGAGCAGCATTATTCATAAGTTAAAAAGCAGACCTAATTCAGATGTCTATCAATTGATGAATGGATAAATAAAAATATAGTCTGGCCATACAATGAAGTACTAGAGAATAACATGAAGCGCTGATGTATGCTATATAGGTGAACCTTGAGAAAACTATGCTAAGTGAAAGAAGTCTCACAAGGCCATATATTATATCATCCCACCTATATGAAATAGGTAAATCTATGGAGAGTAGATCAGTGGTTAGCATAGGCTGGCATTAGAGGGTAGTGGGGAGTGAACACTAATGGGCATAATTTTGTACTGAGGTGATGAAGTCTTAATTGTAGTAATGGTTGCACAACTTGGTGAATGTATCAACAACCACTGAATTGCCAAGATGAAATAACAGGAGAAAATTTCCCTAGTTTAGCAAAAAACAGTTAAATCCAGACTCAAGAAGCTAAGCAAAACCAAATAAATAGAAATTCATACCAAGACATGCCATAAACAAAGAAAGCTCTAGAAAAACAGTATCTGTCTGCAAGGAGAAAACAATTCAAGAAGCCAGAAGGAAGTGGCACATTTTTCAAGGGCTGAAAGAACTGTCAACCTTGAATTCTTTATCTGGGGAAATTATTCTCCAGGAATTAAAGGAAAATAAATCATCAGATAAAGGAGAATGATGCAAATTTGTTACCAATAGACATACCCTAAAAAAATCACATTCTTTAAGTGCAAAGGAAATACGTAAGATAGAAAACATATATATTGCTATCTGTCTTTGGTTGCTGGCACAGAACTCCTAAAACTCCTCTAATGTCCTAAGGAATGAGAACTATAAGCATATTTTGTTCTAATATTTGGCCTTCGACTTGTTCCTAAATTTCCTCGGTGATAACATTATCTTTTTTTCTACCGAGGTGACTCTTAGTGGGCTGCCCAATGGGGGCTGTTACCAAAAAGACCGAGTCATAATTAGAAGCTTGGGCTTTTCGGCCTTGCACTGGCATCTACAGTGCAGGGGGGCAGTCTTGTAGAACTGAGCCTTAATCTGTGTGATGTGGTGTCATCTTCATGTAGAAAGCATCAGAATTGAGCTAAATTATAGGACATCCAGCTAACATTGCAGATAATTGTTTGGTGAGAGAAAACTCCCACACATCTGGTATCAGAAGTGTTTGGATTGTGGTAGTAGGTTGAGAATAAAGAGGAAACACAGGAGAAATGGGTCTTTCCCTACTCAAAGTGATGAGAGAGACTTGGCATGTTAGGAAAGAAGAAAGAACATTTCAAAGAACAAAAACAGGTATAAATACAAAGTATTTTTTTCATTTTGATTTTTCTATACTGTTTGATGATTGAAGCAAAAACTACAACATTGTCTAATATGGTTTTCAATGTAAGTGGAGGAAATTTTAAAACAAATAAGAGAAGTTAGAGGGACTTAAAGAGACACCAGCAGACTGGAGGTAAGTGGTATATGTATAATGCAATACCCAGGCAACCACTAATCAACTATACAAAGAGAATTTCAGACTCAGAAACAACAGTTTGCCCATTTTTCTCTACTTTCTAGCTGTGTGACTATAACTAAATACTTAACTGCTCTGTAAAATGAAGCTAATATTCATTTTGAATGAATCAGTTAATGTAAATTAACTAGAATTATAGCAATTATTTCAAATATTGCTTTTTCTTGGGTCTGACTATAAGCCCTGTCTTCCTAATCCATTCACTTTTGCTAGTTTAAATAAATACTTAAAATAGTCTTAAACTAGGGCATGTAAAAAAGTTCTGATCACAGTGACAGGTATATACCATGTGCTCAAGAAATTAAAGTCACAATTATTTATTTATAAATAAAGACGGTTGGCTTTTTCTTAAAAAAAAAAAAAAAAAAAGTGGCATTCCAATGCAGGATGGAGTCTCCTCGAGGTGGTGGACGGTATCAGACATGCGGCTACGTAAGGCCAAAGGGCAGCCTAGGTGGCAGGTCTTTTTAGACCTGCCCACACAGAGCGCTTCATTCCCTGTGAAGCCTTCATTTCTTCCCAGTCCAGTTTGATGTCTGGAACATCATATTCCGGCTCTGGATCTTCTCTCAAGGCCCCCTGTGGGGAGGCAACCACGATGGGCAGAGGGCCACATTCCTTCCGGAATTCCACAACATGGAGACTCTTCTTATCAGCCCGCTTCTGATGGGTTTCCTGAGCAGGACCAAATTGAGAACACCAGGTTAGATCTATGAGGTACCGCTGTAACTTAGAGCAGGAACTTCCATGAGCCAGAGAGAAGTCGGCAGTGAACACACTATCACTCAGGGGACTCAAATAGCATTTCAGTGGCTTCCAGGTAATGTACTTTGTGGCTAAAGTATAGTGACACCTCAGTGCCATCACCCTATCAGCCCTGGAATAAGGGCCTTGACCTCTGGTCTTGCCTTCTAAACACTCCCAACTTGGGCCTCACCAAGCACCTAGATCATGCAGAAAGAGAAGATGTTAAAGATCCCCAGGTATTTGGTCAGCACCAGACCGGGGAAGAAAACAACCTGTTTACTTGAACAAAAAAATTTGTAAGGGCAAAAAAGAAGAACCTGGAGATTACAAATGACTTAAAAGACATAGTAAAACTTATAATTTATTGAGCTTTTCTGCAATATCATTCAAATAAGTTGTATAAAAAAATCTTTTTCAATCTGACAGGTGGAGACATTTCTATGCACACTGACTGGATATCTGGTGATTCTGAATTACTGGTAATTTTTAGGCATGATAATAGTGTTATGGGGTATTGTTTAATCCTTATCTTTTAGATAAATATTGAAATATTTATGAATAAAATAAAATGGTATTGAGATTTAGTTCAAAATAGTTGGAGCTGGAAGGGTGGCACTGAAAAACAAGGCTGGCCACAAGCTCTAACTACTTGATGAGAGGGCCAAGGGGTTCACTCCATTAGTTGGTCATGAACGTCTGTACCTCGGCAAATAAATCTACTCTATGCTTTATTGATAGTACATTAAAATACCTGATATGAAACAATCTTTGTTTCCAGACTTGATGACCACCTTGTACTATACTATTGGAAACTAGAATAAAGATGAGTTGTTTCATAAAAACAAATTGATTTAAATTGGTGTGTATTATAATCAATGGCATGTTGCTTAACTTGATGGCCTGATTTTCTTTTTGAGTGGTACATTAAATAACACCACTTTTTTACTGTTAATGTCATTTAGAATAGTTGATACATGGTAATTACATCAGAAGATTCAAAATACTAGCCTAAAAATGAAAATATCATAAAAGAGCAAGTCTACTTGATTATAAATATGACGTCTAAAACCAATGTTTTTGTTACATCAGTTAAAACTCTAACATTGCAAATGGATTTAGAAGTGCTTTTGAAAGATGTTTTAGGTAGTACACACACACACACACACACTCCTGTTCAAAAAAGATCTTTTAACCAAAACTTTTTCTTTAATTTCTTACTTTAAACAGAGAGATGTAAAATCATTCCATGGAACATTTTCTTCAAAAACAACCAACACATTTTTTCAAAAAAACCGCATTCTCAAAATGCTGGGAAGTCTATAAAAATCCTCAACAATGGAGGTCAAATCTTATAAATGGAGCCTCAAAACCAGCTGTCCTCTGCTTGTCCAGCTCTGCTCATGTCTATCAGCAGCCAGGGGCAGGCTGAGGTAGGATGGATGTGCACTCACAGGCCCTCTTCCCTGGTGGAGAGTGGAGTGACAGGAACCCATCCCACCAGGGAGCCATCCCATTGAGACTGAAAAGGACAAGCTGAGCAGCAGCCAGGGCCCCCATCGTGCAGAGAAATAACCTGGCATATTAATGTCCATAGTTCCTACTAACTCAAGGTATCTGTCTGAACTACCTGGGCAGATAACGTGAAAACTGCTTCTGCACAAGATAGTTCTCCAGAGTGGAGACACCTTAGGGACTTGACTCTAGTCCCAGTTGAAAGTACTAAATTAGGAAATGAAATTTCTCTTTTTACTTTAGAGGAGTTTTAGAACAAGCATGTATCCTTTTAAGACACAGGTTGTAACTACTGGCTTTTAGGAATACTTAATTTGGAAACTTCAAAAGCTAATGAAGTATTTTTAAAAGTGATTTTTCATTTACTAACTCTTCAATTGAATTAGCTCGCCTGCAGAAGCCATAAATAACAAAGAATCCCTGAATCCTGAGGTGACTCCAGGAGAGTAACTCCAGAAGGCCCGTAAGACATCATGGTCTTGAGGCACACAGCTGACATACAGACTAGAACTTCTGTCTCAAGGCTTGGGGAAGGATTACCTGGCTGGAGAGCCCATAGAAGAGGCCCCGGGTGAGGTTGAGCATATTGATGGACCCCGAGACCTTGGCGTACAAGTCTTTGATGCCAATGAGCCGGCAGATGGTGATGATGGCCCGGTGACAGCGGAGGCCGTAGCCTAGAAAAGGGGAAAAAAACTGGTCAAACACCAACCTACTCAGCTGCAATGCAGATGGTCGGTCACCCTCTGGCTTCACACAACTGATTCAGGGTCAGGAGACCCTGGCTGCATTCTGGTCTCGCCAACTCCCAGGGTGCCTTTGACAACTTACTTGACTTTCATGGTGGCACTTATTTAAATTGAAAGTTTAATGGTTAAAGAAATAATGGACATATAAATTTCTTGAACACGTGGGCAAAAATACAGGATTGTTATGAGATTAACAGATGCCTGGAAGCACTCAGTGCCCACATCCATGCTGACCGAGGACAGAGGACACATGTACTCTCACCTCCCCGACTGCTCAGTGGTCCTAAGCAGGGATGTCTACTTCCTCCTCCTGGGAAAAAACCCTCTTTTGGTTTCAGTTATGTACTGTATCCTGGATTTTCTCCTAAAAATTGGCCCATCCTTCTCACCTCCTTGCTGACCTCTCAACATTGGATGGTCTCCTCTTTAGCCACGGGCCATACTGTGGTCTAACCAGTCATCCCTTCTCCAGGAAGAGCTTTCAAAACACCAAATACATCACTGCCCATTAAAAGCCCTGTACTTCCCACTGGAATAAAATGAAGAATTCCATATTCTACAAAGCCCTCCTTGACCACACCTCTCAAAAATCTCATCTAAAGACACCACCATCCCCGGGGCTGACTTTCCACCTCAGGGACTGTGCTCCAGGTGTTTTCTTGGCCTACCCTCCTTGCATGGCTCCTTCTCACTTTCAAAGTCTCCCTCCAATGCATCCTCCTCAGAGGCTTTCTTAGGCCATGCTTTCAGAGGCAGCATCCCTCTTCTGTCCCCTGCTGCCTTCCAGTAGCCTGATTGCTACTTTCAGGCACTTGGCAGAACCTGCTTATCTGACGTTTCCCCTGAAGTAGAATGGGAAGCTAGGATACTGTTTGTATTCTGCCTAGAGTTTAGATCAGTAATTGGCAAATGCAGGTAGCACTGAGGGAGAGACAAAAGTCCCAAGTTTAAACCCTAACACTTTGATTAGCCAGACATAAAACTCAGCACACACCAACCTGCTCCAAGACAGAACATCTACCCAGAAGCTAAACACTATTGGCTTTCTAGTTTCTAATTTTTTATGGTAATATATTCATGTAAAAACTGTTTTTAGATATAAGTACATAGCAGTGTCACCCAGAACTGTCCCTTCTACTTGATGAAGTCAACTAATTCACTATGACCTGGCTATGCCAGCTCATTCAAGAACCAGGCATTTTAGAGAACAGTTAAACAGGTCATTTGCTGTTCTTTGGCTGCCGTCATACATCCAAAGAATGTGTGTCCACGTGTGAACAACACATGCACACACAGATGTCTGCTGATACATGCACATGTGGAGAGAGGGGCACCTGCAAGGGGGGTGCAAGGCAGATCTTTGGAAGGGTCTGGGAGGCAGATTGTACCCTGTCACTGCTCACTGGAAAACTCTGACACCCCCTCCCTGTGATAACTACTTAGCAGAGCTGGCGGTGAACTCCCAGAGAAGGCAGTTACTCTGCACAGCACCCGAAGCACACAAGACACTCCAGAGAGTAGCCTGTGCTTTGCACATGTACAGACATCCATGTAGTAGGGGTCACAGTCTTACGGTTTTTGACTATACATTGATTGTGAAGATTTTCAGGCAGGCACTGTGCCCAAAAAGTACATGTGTAATGAAATTTAAAGGGGTGTGTGTGTGTGTTTTATGGGAAATGCACTGCAGTGCTCTGTGAGAAACTAAATACTATCCTGTGACCAAGGTAGAAGCGGCCACGGTTAAACAAGTCTGGGAAGGCTGCATTCTTAGCCCCTCTGGGAGCTGCACACTGCACAGTAGTGCACTAAGACTGCAATGTTCAAAAACACACACAGCATCTTTCTGACTTCCCTTAATCCAGTTTTCCTGCTCAATGTTCTTTTTAGAATAACACCTTTCATAGCTCCTCATGGGAAAAAATGCTGCACAGGCACATCTTTCAGGAAATGATGTCTGTAATGTATTGTACTGCTTTAACTTCAAAATCAGAATATTTAACCCCAATGCATAGGTAAGGAATGCATTTAACAATCAGAAATCTGAAAAAGGCAGCTTTCATTAGAAAACAGGGAAGATTACAAAAAGGTAACTTGTGCAATTAAAATCGTAGCAATTTTTCAAAGGTTATTCAGAAATATGCAAGCCTTAGATACAACTTAAAACTTTCTCACAGATGAAGTTTTGAAGATATGATTGATTCTAGTGACATATTTTACGAGCATGTCCAACGTGTTATTTCAAAATATAATCAGTACAATAATATTTTTAGGGTTATATATAAATATATATATATTTCCCTCCCATACTAAGACTTTGAAATCTGGTATGTATTTGACACCTACAGCACATCTGAGTAGTACCATTTCAGAGCTCAACAGCAACAGTGACTGGGCAGGTCTGAACCTTGATGTTTTAAGTGTTCAAATCAATGCTGCTTCTAATAACAAAATATTTTTTATCAAGTATATGATTTATTATGATTACTACATTTGATTCTTTTTTCTTGATTTACTTCTAAGCCATAGCTCTAGCAGAATTGTACTGGAAACTTTGCCATAAAAATTTTTAATATATTGCTTTTATTCCTGAGCCTAACTTTCTAAGATATATCAAATTATATAAAGCCACTGTATTCCACTCTGCATTCCAGAGTGCAGGTCAACAACCAGCTCCCAGAGGTTATTCAGTCAGTACTTGACAATGACAGTAAGTTACTGGAGCTGAATAAGCTATCAGAGCAGAACCAGCTGAGAGAGTTAATGAATTGTCTAGGAAGAACTAATATCCTTCCAAACTCACTCACTCACTGGGCTGTTTTTTTCTGTTCACAATGTGCTGTGACCAAGTAACCTGAAGTTAATTCTAGAGCATGCTTGTACTCAGAGGAAACTGGGTAGATAGACTTCCTTGCTTTTACTTCCCCGAGAGCCTCTGTCTTCTTAAATTTAACTTGGGCCTTTCCATTTTGGTGTTTTCAAAGTAAGTTCAAATAAAGTTGAGCCAAAATAGAGGACAAGATAGAATAATTATAATTTGTCTACTTTATCTTCAACAAATTATCAGAGTTTTTTAGTTACCTCTGGGTTGTTTCTTCATCTTGATATGTGTCCTTTTAAACGTTAAAGAAATGTCATGGAATACTGGAGGGTAAAAATATAAACATAAGAAGGATTAGGTGTGTGCTTTAAGGTCCTTGCAAATATCACAAAGCAACTAATACCTCCCAAGAAGCCCACATACACCAAGGATGTGTGGCAAAGTCTGATTTCACTCCTTACAACCTTCTCAGGAGAGAAAGTTTGTTTCGACATTTTACACATTCATTGATAAGAAAGTAGTAACAAGCAGAGTATCACAAAGATACTCAGAGACACACTGCCAAACATACTGAAACAAAATCCTGCAAATTTTAAAAGAAAGCTCACCACTCACTTGTATGGTCTTCGTATCGTTCTATGTAATGCAAATAGTGAACTGCTTTGTTCTTTGCCTGTAAGAAGAAAAATACTTTTCTTAACTCTATTGTTGGGATTTATGTTTTCTCAAGGATTTCAAAAAATACCTTTCACAAGCTATTTTATTATGAAAAGCTTCAAACTTTAACAAAAACTTCAGTAGTCTTCTAAAAGCTAAGGATTAAATTTGCAATATCATAACCAAAATAACATTACCACACCTGAAATACTTAACACTAATTCCTTAGTAGTTTTGAATTTTCTGCCAGTGTTTTCAAACTTTCCGAGTGTGCTCAGAACTCTGGTAAGCAATCAGAAATCTGACAAAAATGATGCCAAAAAATATAGGTATTGATGAAGCTGCTTCTGGTGACATAAGTAATCTTTGACCGCAAGGCTTATGGGATGGTTCTTATTTTTATTTTTTTTTAATTTTTTCTTTTTTTTAAAGATTTGTTTATTTATTTACACAAGCACTGGGTACAGTCAGAAGCGCGGGAGGGTGAGCGAACTCACCAGAGCCAGAGCGGGGAGCAGAACAGGCAGAAGGACCAAAGTACACTGCTGAGGGGTGCAGTGGGCGGCAGGAGAGGTCTGCACGCTATGTGGGACCCTCGCCAGGGGCCAGGGATCAAACCGGCGCTGCAGAGGCTGCGGGCAGCCTTGTAGCCCAGCGCTCGACCGCTCAACTGTAAAACCACTGCGCCACCGGGGAGGCCCCCGGTTCTCTATTTTATTATTTAAAATGTTTTGTGCCCACCAACTGGGAGAACATTTTTGCACACAACACTAATGATAAAGGACTGATCACAAAAATCTGCAAAGAGCTGATGAGACTCAACAACAACAAAGAAAATAATCCAGTCAAAAAATGGGCAGAAGAGCTAAAAAGAAACTTCTCTGAAGAAGAAATGCAAATGGCCAACAGGCATATGAAAAAATGTTCAACATCACTTGTAATCAGGGAAATGCAAATCAAAACTACCATGAGATACCATCTTACACCAGTGAGAATGGCACATATTAAAAAAACTAGCAACAACAAATGTTGGCAAGGGTGTGGAGAAAAAGGAACTCTCCTGCACTGTTGGTGGGAATGCAAACTGGTCCAACCACTATGGAGAGCTGTGTGGAGATTTCTGGACCTACTAAACATAGAGCTTCCATATGATCCAGCAATTCCACTCCTAGGTATTTACCCAAAGGACACAGAAACATCAATCCCAAAGAGCACCTGTACCCCTATGTTTATAGCAGCACTGTTTACAATAGCTAAGCTTTAGAAACAACCCAAATGCCCAAAAATAGATGACTGGATCAAGAAGATGTGGTACATATATACCATGGAATATTACTCAGCATTCAAAAAAGATAAACACATGCAATTTGCAGCAACATGGATGGCACTGGAAGGGATCATGCTCAGCGAAATAAGCCAGAAAGAAAAAGAAAAATACCGGATGGTCTCACTCATAGCAGGAATCTAGAAAACTTAAATAAGGGACCAGGAAAATGAATAACTATAAGAAAGTGAAAATCAAAATCAACAAAAAACTAGGAACCAGAGACACTCTATGGGGGGTAGAGGGCGGGAGGGGAGGGAAGGGAGGGATTGGGGTCGAAATAAGGGGGTTGCAATTGTGCAACTGTATGGGGAATATAAAAATAAAATTTATTATTAAAAAAAAAAAAGGGCCTCCCCGGTGGCGCAGCGGTTGAGCGCTGGGTTGCGAAGCTGCCTGTAGCCTCTGCAGCGCCAGTTCAATCCCCGTCTGCTCCCCGGCCACCGGAAGGGGGTCCCAAATGGTGCGCAGACCTCTCCTGCCGCCCGCTGCTCCCCTCAGCAGTGTATTTCGTCAGTCTGCCTGCTCTGCTCCCTGCTCTGGCTCTGGTGAATTCTCTCACCCTCCCGCGCTTCTGACTGTACCCAGTGCTTGTATAAATAAAATAAATAAATAAATATAAAACTTAAAAAATTAAAAAAAAAAAAAGATTAAAAAAAAATAAATAAATAAATAAAAAATAAAATGTTTTGTGGTTCCCATGGTGTCTAGCATATAACCTATTGATCCTTTACTCTCAACAAAGGAAAAATGTACATACTTTCCTAAAAGCGTCCATCCGTTCTGTGGCTTTCCCAATGGCAAAACCTTTAAAAGAAAAAAGCAAAATTACACAAAGGGGCACAAACTGACATATAATATTTTTCACCATATTTCAAGTTTCAGCTTCTATAGTATTCGACAGCATCTCATTTTTCTTCTGTCCACAGGAAACTTGCTATCCAAAACAGAATGACAAAGCTTAAGGCTACGGGGATTTGCTTGATGTGTTTGAGGTACTTTGGAAGTACTACATTTGAATGCATTTCTGAAATCCAAGAGTAGACATTAACCTTCCATGACTCTCTAGATAAAACTAAACATATAGGGAGGAGGCACATGGACGATGGTGAGGACTATGCGAGTCTGGGTGGAGGGTGTGGTATGTGACATGCATCTCAGGCATGCACCTATGTCGGAAACCAATGTTTCCTCATAAATAACAAAAAAAAAATCATTTTTCTCACAGGAAAAGACAGTTAGAGGGGGGAACTATTCTTTCTTTCCCTTCTAAGGGATTTCTTGGGTTTGTCACAAGTTTTGTGAGCCCAAACCACAAAAAGGCTAAATCAGCAGAAGGGTGGCTAGCAGCAGGAAGCCCTGGACTCCACAGCCCCGCCCTGGCTCCCACTGCCCCGCAGGCATATTCACCTGCAGCGCCTCTGCCATTGCCCACGGCAACCAGGACACGGACTGATTTCTTTCTTCCCTCTTTTGCGGTCATATTGAAAACATTTCTTACCTAAAAGACAAAATGTTTCATAACTATCACCCCTTGGGGAAATCCTGGAGCAAGGAACTGGAGTGGCCGCTTCACACATAGGCACACGTGGCAGGAAGGCATATTAGTGCCCTCATCAACAGCAGACTTTCTGAAAGGAAACAGCTCTCTAGACTGTTTCTTTAGGTGTAGAATGGGAAGACTTTCTCTCCCTTATTTCACAGGGTTCTTGAGAGGTCTGATTGAGATCACTTTAAAGGAATGTGAAACTACGCAGCTCAGTATACCCTAGTTTAGTGAGTGTAATGTGATAAAAAAGAGTTGGTTAAACTTTAACATAAGTAACTACACAAAACATAGCCCAATTCAGAGATTTTTAAAATACAGAAAACTGTGCCTCTTAGAAATGATACAGAAATAATTAGTGGAGCCTGGATCTCTATACTAAGGATTATGCTCAACTGAGAAGAAAATATTTGGAAATACCAAATAGTTGCATAGCAAATGCTTATTAGGAACTACAGGAAAACCTACATTTTGGGAGGGCATAGTTAAATGACCAGGAACAATGAAACTGAACTAAACTGCTTACATGGCAGCCCTTTTCCCATAAAATGAGATGGAAGGAAAAGGAAGTGCTAGTCCACTGCCATGAATAATCTTACAGGAAATACCCAATATATAAGAATTCTTCAGAGGAATTAACTTCCAAAAGTTAATCCTTCTTTTGCTGAATCATATCAGCCTCCACCTTCTCTTGCTATTCCTTGCTTCTCTGGGAAATGGTCTGCATGGCTCTATTTCTCATGAGGGACATTCAAACCAGGCCAAAGATAAAAAATACTTATAAACATTAATTTTAAACTTCAAATTCTATCTCACAATTGATATTGAAGAAATAATGTACATGTTCAACCACAAGGAGCCCAAGCAGAGATTATTCCACGGGTATTTAACACCAGATATGCCACTGGCTCCAAGGGGAGTTGCCCTGGGAGGAGAGTGACTGAAATTTACTTAATAGAAGTTGTGGTTTCAAGAACCTGCAAGCAGCAGCCACTAGATCACTTCTCCCCCCAGGAGCTGGACATTCACTGCAACCCAAGCTTTCAATTCCTGCCGCAAGGAATTGAATTGTGTGCCAAATACAGCTGTTTATAACTGAAGGGTGGCTTGCTAAATCTACTTTGGCTTTAGGAAGGAAGAAATTTAAATGTAATCTCCAAAGTCTGTTATCAACATACCACTCAAGATCCCTTGTCAGGACACCTCAATTGGTATCCCCCAAGAAGGGCAGCAGTCAGGAGAGTCAAGATCAAGTAGCTAAAATTAAAGTTCCATTATTTCCTTACCCAAATCAGCTGTCTCAGGAAAAGCCATGCATCAAAGGCTTTCGTCACAGTTCCTCTTAACCTGTCTTTACTCCACCCATGCCAACCTCTCTAAATATTGAACCAACTATTTCATTCAGCATACTTACCTCAAGTATCCTGGTATCAAAATCCTCATATGTTTCTGTAAGGAGCAAAGAGGGATACAGATAAATGTGTCAATGTTATTAGTGTATAAATGCAATTTTCAATACAGGTACCATCACGGACTTTTAAGAGAAAGAATCTCAGAACTTCTGGGGATAAACCTGGTCTTTCACCATCACCAGAGACTATTCCCACCATCTCCCTGACTGCATCCTCCTGCCCCTCCAGCTTGCACTCAACAACTCCAAGGCGGCGCTCCTTGGAGCTCCCTGGCACCTCCAGACTCTTGATCACCATTTTCTCCTTCCCTGTCACTCCTCTGGGTCTTCATAGGAGTGACACCATGACACCAGAGCCCATCATGTCCAGTAGACTTTGTGATGTCCTCAACTCCCTCACCCTTTTCTCTCCCTACCACACTATCTAGGCCTGAACCAATCACAGCAGTCTAGCTCCTCTGGGCCTTCTGGGTATCGCTAGAACAAAGTTAAATCATAGTACACACCTGGGTCATTGAAAATTCAGTGTCCAACTCAATTAAGTTCACCCTGCTACCTGGTAGACTTTTATGTCCTTTCAGTTAGCTCTTTCTCTACTCACCACAGCAGCCAGTTCAAACACTGTGCTCTCCTGGTGCCATGCTCCACAATGCCCACACACATTTCCTCTACCAACAATATGGACTCACCTCCATCTGTACCCCACCCTTTCTTCTGCCCATTAATCCATTTATCTATACTCTGAACCTGGGTCCACTTATTTCTTCTCCCTTTCATATCCTCATCCTCCCAAGTGAAGCATTATCTAAAAGTTCTAAGCATGTTCACCTGAGTCTATCCATTTCAACCTCTCCTCTTTAATTCTCATGTAAGAAAGCCGCCAAATTCTCCAATATTTTTTCATCTACTCATTGACAAGGACAAATTGTTCCGATGATTTTTACTTCTTTACATATTCAGGGGGTGGGGTTTTGCTTTCTAATATGACCTGTTACCAATTTTTACTTTATGTGTGCTTTTATGAGGCTTAATGACAACTACCTGGTTTATCTTTTGTCAATGAAACAGTACTCCCAGGCCAGGTTGCTCCACAGGTGCCCCATGAACTATGCTTGAGAAAATGCAGTCTATAAATTGCTTATACACAGATCAGTAATGCACACCACATTTAAGGTGCTCATGAGAAACCACATATTAAAAATGCCAGAACCCAGTGCTTTGTATCCTGTTTGTAGAGTACTTCTTGGTTATGGGCTTCGGTTGTTCCATAAAATACAACTGAATAATAATGTGATATTATTTCAAAGATGTTCAAATACTTTCTTGAAAACAAGCAATCTAAACAGACAAGTAGTTACAATCTATTAAAGGATTCTAGAACTACAAGGACCCTCTTTGTTAGAAAGGTCAGTAAAACCCAGGACTCTGCTACCTCCATCGGGACCAGGGTCAGGGGGGCCAAGACTGACGCCCCCCCATGTGTGTCCACTCCATCCTCGTTCTCGTTTAACCTTCATCTTCCTTTTCCGGTCCCACTCTTCTCTCTGCTGAATTATATCAGCCTCCACCTTCTCTTGCTCTTCCTTGCTTCTCCGGGAAATGGTCTGCATGGCTCCATTTCTCATAAGAGGGACATTCAACCCAGGCCATAGGAAGCCATGACGCCCTGAAGATTTAAAAACATACAAAATAAGAACATGTAAAAAGCACTCATTTCTTGAGTGTTAAAATGTCAGATGATGGGTAAATATATGATGACACTGCTGGTACGAGCTTTAACATTGCCAAGTCACTTGGCAATCACTTGGCACTACTAACAGCTAGTAATTCCACTTCATGGTATTATCTGTAGACACACTCTCATCAGATTCAAAACGTGTGTGCTTGACAAGGACGTCCACTGAAGTGTTATTTGTAAAGGCAAGGAAATTGGAAACAATCTAAATGTCCAACAGTATCGGAATGTTTACATGAACTGTGGCATATCCGATCCATGAAATATTCTGTACTGAATCAAAAGAATGAGGTAGCTCTATAAGAGATGATGTGGAATAATTTCCAAAACATATTACTAAGTGAAAAACAGTAAATCTTATAAGACAGTAGGTAGCATAAGAAACAATTTAGTTTAAAAAGAAAACACATTTCTTTTAGGGTATTTAAGTACATAAAAGCATTTTTAAATGTCAGGAGGAAACGAACCAAAATGAGATCAGTGGTATTGTTGGGGGAGGCAACAGGAATTGGGGGGACCAGAAAGGGCATCAAAGGGGACTTTAGGTTTCTCGACAGTCTTTGAATTTTTTATTGAGGCCTACACATATGAGAGTTAAAAGATTAAAATAAGGGTCTTCCTGGTGGTGCAAGGGGTTAAGACACAACCTATGAAGCTATTTGCAGCCACTGCAGCACGAGTTAAATCCCCAGCAAGGGAGCCACCCACATGGTGCAGCAGACCTCTCCTAATTTGCCCACTGCTCCCCTCAGCAGTATATTTCAGTCAGTCTGCCTGTTCTGTTCCCCACTCTGTCTCTGGTGAATCCTCTCATCCTCCACACCTCTGGCCTGTACCCCAGTTCTTGTATGCATAAATAAATAAATCTTTTAAAAAAAAAAGATTAAAATAAAATGAAGCTAATTCATGGAAAAAAACATTCAAGCAGACATGCTAGATGGCTCTTAGCAACAAAGGGATATGTCAGCAACCACAACACAGAAAGTCCATTTAAGTACACTCCACTATTTTCACTCTTCAAAAAACACAAGTATAAATAAGCATGCATCCCAGAGGTGGCAAACTAAATTTCGACGGTCATCTATAGCCCACAACTCATTTTTTGGTGAATATGGTTTTACTGGAGCCCAGCTCTGCCCATTGATTAGGTATTGTCAATGACTGGTTTTGCGCAGCAGAAGCAGAGTTGAGTAGCTATACCAGAAACAAAGTGGCTTCCAAAGCTGAAAATATTTACTACCTGGCCCTCTGCAGATAAAGTTCACTAACTTTCTATTTACTATATCTATTACTGAAGCGTGAGTTTGTTGAGAACAGAGACTGTCACAGCAGATGCCCCTCAGAGCATTTGAAGGATTTTCCTTCCCCAGAGCCCCGGGGCAATAGGTAAGCCACTTGGTGGTGGCAGATCCAAATATTCATGAAAAATGTTCTGATTCTTCTAGTTTGCAAACTTTCTACCCAAATTTTGGAGGGGTGGCGGGGAGGAAAGCCTTAAAAATCACATTGACTTTTTTTTATAAATAAGTTTACCTTCTCCAATGATCTGACCCCTGTTCAAATCCTTTCTTCTCTTTTTCTTAGTTCTTTTGCCCCTTCCTTTTCTTGCTCCAGCACCGGTCTCTGCTAAAGCACCTTTCCACAGCTCATCTGCTGTCACTGTAATAAAACAGGATTTGGATTTTTTTAAATTTTCAAGCAATTATTTATTATGGTCTCCTGAATAAAAAAGTCCAGCTTCATTTGTATCACTGTGGTAATGAACGTAAAATTAAATCATTCTTTGTACATATCACATGCTCACATTTGGAAAAGTGTAGACATGACTCTTCTACTTTTAAAGAACATGGCCTTCCTCTCTGAAAGATGGTTATCATTTAAATTCCAGTTACTTACCAGCAGGCTGTTTGCTAGGCATTTTATTAACTGTTACAGGTCTCTTTCCCCTTTTGCCTCACTGTAAGCACTGAGCTAACCAATAACTCTTCTTCCTAAATACATGTTGTTTAAACCAAACAAGAATCAACATTTCAGTCTAAACCCATAAGTCATTTGAATCATTTGCTCTAATCTTCGGTAAATGCCTTAAGCATCTTCACAACGAGATGCCCAAAACACCTTCAATTCTAATGAAAGTCCAATCAACCCACAGGGAAGACTGAGTGAGCAGGGATCTGACAGTACTCATCTGTGTATGCACGTATTTAAGTCATGCTTGTCTTCACTTCATGTGTAGACTCTGACATTGCTGACGTTTTCCATTAGTGAATTTCTAGGATACTAAAATCTTTTTCCATTACACATTTCAATCAGGATTTTCCCTTTTGTACTTGTAATATTCCCTTTGGAATATTCAGATTTCTTACTTTTGACAATTACCAATTTTCATTCATTATTATAGTTATATCATGTATTAGATTTAAATACCATCCTTCTAAGGACTTCCAGTCTTTCACAGTACCAAGCAATTTCATAATCACAGAGATTCTGTCCCATTAACAATTTATTTAATAAAGAATCAGAGCCAACAAATGGACTCGTCAGAAACCTAAGATAGATATAAAGGCCTGAAATACTAAACACATTCTAGAAGATTCATAGGTATCTTCATTCTTCTTCTCTTATGAGCCCCTTAGGGTTTAAAAGTTCTACCTGCTTGCTTCCTCAAGGGCCTGACCTTGATCCTCTGGGTAGATAACATAAAAACAGAAAAATGTTTTGGATTTATAATACATTTAAATGCTGTATAGCTATATAATATCCTGTTTTTAAAAATGTACACATTATTATAGCTGACCTTCATAAATAGTCATAAAAGTATTGATCATTTAAGGAAAGAAGAAAAATGAAAACATAAAAGCACTGCTTATTTTCCTATTCCATGAAATGGGAAATTTGTGGTCATCCTACGTACATTTGGTGAAGAAACTATAGGCTCTGCACTGCTGGCCCATGAGGTTACTGGGAGAAGAAATCCAGCACTGCGTCTGAAGTGCGCGGGCCAAGCTGGTGAAACAACGGTGGTCTCCGATTCCCGGTGATGACAACGGGCCTGCAGGCAGATGGAATAAAACTACAGTCAGATGTTTCAAGGCCATGGAAAAACACTGCTAGCACCAAAAAATTCAGTCATTGCTAATAGAAAGAGGTCACTAAAAGGTGGTACTTGTATAAATCATTTTGAGAACAGTCTTTCTTAAAAACATAAAACAAAACTTTGGGCAGGTAATGAAATGCTCATCCTGTTTACAGCAGTTCACCCACACAGGGATGCCAAGCTGCAATTACCACCTCAAGCTCAGGATATTCTGGGTTAATGGCGCCCTCTGCTGCTACAGTTGGACAATGTACCATCCAGAAGACCTGGGCATAACCTGGTTAGCAGAGCAAGATGTAGAGCAATGGACCTACTGACTCAATGACTTATTCAATAAAACGTAAATACAAAGTGTTAGCTTTCATTTTTAATAAATTCAGGACTTCAGTGGGCATTCCAAATCCCATTTAAAAAAACACATTAGTTTATCATGTAACCTCAATCTTCCGCAGAATGTTGACTTGAACATAATTTAATTTTGAACGCTTAGTTTTACAATCTCTGATATATTTTAAGTAAAAAACTCATTACCATCACATTTACAAATCTTAAACATTTATCAAATGACCAAAATGCTACTCATAGCTATAACATATTTAGCCTAAAAAGGACAAATTGCCAAAAGGAGACATTGACTTTAAATCATCTCTTTAAATACATTGCTGCTTCTAGTTTGCTTGCACTGTTTGCTTTTTATTTATTTATTTATTTTGGTATTTTATACTGCTCCAATGCCAGAATCAATTTATTTTCTTCATTAAAATAACATACACAGGGTCTCCCTGGTGATGCAGGGGTTAAAGTCTCAGCGCTATCAAGCCATCTCCAGCCACTGCAGCATCAGTTCGATACCCCACCAGGGAGCTAACCCACATGGTGCAGGAGACCTCTCCTGTCTCACCCAGTGCTCCCCTCAGCAGTGTATTTCAGTAGATCTGCCTGTTCTGTTCCCCACTCTGTCTCTGGTAGATCCTCTCACCCCCCGCAACTCTAGTCTACACCCCAGTTTTTGTATGCATAAATAAGTAAAAATAAATCTTTAAAAAAATAAATAATATACACAGAATGTACTGTTAATTCTGTTCCTTCAAATTTTGAATATATTTACTTACTGCTAAAAAGAAATGGGTAAAACAGTTTAAAAAAATAAAGCTATCAAGCACAAAAGAAAAGATAAAATGGATATTTCCCTGTGCAAGCCTAAGACAAACTTCTCAAGAAAAATGCTGCCCACACAACAGAGAATTTATCCAACAAAATCAAAACAAAAGCAGTCACAGATCCCCTTTTCTACCATCAGAGGTCACTTCGCAGCAATAAACCTATTGGGGACAACAGACATACTCAGTTAGGTAAAAATGGGGCAAAAGGCTTCAACTATCCAATTAAACCATACAGAAGACAAAGTTTTGCCAAAAAGAGGGCGGGAAGTCCAGCATCAGTGCTCAGTTCAAGTCATGTATTGGTCAAGGGGGATGAAAGTCTAGATTTACCATGCAGGAGAGATTTATTATTCTATGTGCCCTTGATAACCTGATTACATCTAGTTGTTTAGCAGCTTAGTACTGTGTTAAACTGTTGTTCCAAGAGTTGTTTTTTTCTCTTTTATTAAACCCAGTCAGATGTACAGAAGACAATGAGGCAGTAAAAAGTACCGCCTACAACAGACAGAGGTGAAAGGTCACTAACAGCCACAGCCTTCCCTCTAGGGTTGGGGTCCACAACCGGCTGGCCTCCCTGTAGAGCATAAGATTTGTGTGGTACACCAGACTTGGCAGCCTTCAGGTCCAGGCTTCGATCCCAAATATTCTGATAGATTTTCTGTCAGTCTGAAGGGATGTGTCTTCTATGTCTCTCCCGTTTTTACACTTGCTTCAAGGAACAAAGTCATTTTCTCTGGCAAACTGTTTGGCTTCCTCATATGTAACATCTCTTTGTGCCTCCAAATCAGCTTTATTTCCTGGACAGTGAGATTCCTTGCATGTGTCAACTGGCTGCTAACGTGGTTCTATGTACTTCTAGTGATACCACACACCCAAGTGCTCTCACAGCTCCTCTGTAGTAGCTTCCTGTGACAGCCTGACGTGCTGTGCCCCAAACTGCAGTTTGATTTTTTGGCCACCGACTTCAATTACTCTCGTGCCTAATTCAACATCAACTGTGTGAAGACAAACAGCCAAAAAATTTTTTCTGTGCACTGATGAAGCAAGACTTTTCCTACTCCCATGTCCCCAATAATAAACACATTGAAAGATGTAAGAGTAGTTGTATGATGCAGTTCACCCTGGTGATACTGGGGGTTGCTGGTGATCTGGCAGCATTGTGGGGGTCAGATACATAAGAGGAGCAGGAGGGGGGTGCAGCAGCAGAGGAAGGTGCTTCAGCTGAGGCCCTAAGCAGGGAGTGGACTGACCCATAGAGCACTGGCCGAGGAAGTGCAGGCGCCTGCGGCTCTCTAGGGATCTTCTTCAGAAAGGTCCAAGGTGGCAGCGCTGGATTTTGATTTTTCCAACATGAGTCAGTAGCAGCAAATGCTGTTACATTCTCACCGCCAGTTACAAATTATCACCTGACAACAATTATCAATTTGTTCCTTTTTTAATACTTATTAACTTCAGACTGTGAAGTCCCCAAGCCAAGAAGCAATCACCCTGGAGAAGGTCAAGTGTAGGAAGTCCCCTGTGTAGACCATGTCAATGAGTCTGTTCTCAAATGTTTCATTTCAATGTTTCGCAGTTTCACCATGAATTTCTTCCTTCTAATTTACATAGTTACTGATGTGTTTGGAAGATTTCAGAAAAAGTATTGCTGTGTTTCTGACTACTTTGTTGCAGCTTCTAGAAAAATATACATATAGGTACTAAGAAAATGATGCAAGTTTTAAAAAACAAAGCAATTAATTCCAGGGAAAAGAAAGTGTAGGAGAAAGGTGAGGTAATGTTAGAATACTGCCTAGCTCTGCTGTGAAGAATAAATCTACAACCTTAATAATGAAAACACTGTCTGTACATTTGATCAAACTGTATTATAACTATGCTGGGAAAAAGCAGAGCCAATAGCGTGAGCTTAACTGCTCAGTGTTACCAGAGGAAAGAATATACACAGTCTACTTAAAAGTATAAGCAGAAGAAAGTTGAACACACTGAAAGTGTCACTGGAAGATGGAAGGGATAGCAAGGAAACGAGCTTTAAGACACAAACCTTTCAATCTTCCTTGGAAATATGGTATTTTAAGAAATAATACAACAATCTTCAAAGCAGGGACTACCACCCCCACTTTAGAGATGAGGAAACTGAGAGTCTGTGTGTCATTTGCCCAGGGTTGTCAAGGTAGAAAGTGGGGGAGCAAGGCACTGTGCAGTCACTCCAACATCAGCGCCCTCCCCTACAGGGCTTTCTGTAGGCTCATCCCCTCAGCCAGGAGTGCTCCTCTTGGCCTTCCTCACAGAAGCCTTCTCCACATCAGCTCAGGGCAGGGACACTGCCTGGCCCACAGTTAAGGGCACAGGAAGTAGTGGATGAATAAATGAATGACCCAAACAAGACATGAATAAACAAAGGGGACAGACTCCTCAGCAGGACTACTCAAGCAAAGTGTAAAGGCATAGCCAGGCGGGGTTAACAAGATAAAGGGAGTGAGAATGAAGTAAATGCCCAGCAGCACACACCATTTCCAGACACTCCAGGACACAATGAGGTTTTAATTTGCCATAACCAGAGTCCATGTGGAAAAGGTGGGACTTAACTGACCACAGCACAATATGGCTTCCTTCCTTTCTGGAGAGTGACTGAAGAAAGGGCCCTGCACTATGTCTAGTGGAGCAGAGGCTTCTACAAAGACCCTGTGTTGCCAGGAGGCATCACTGTATCCATATAGCTCAGGACCCAGTCCTGCCGTGGACCGGCTGTGTGACCTTGAGTAAGTCACTTAGCTCCTCACAGACTCATGTCATCATCTGTAAAATGGGAACAGCAACTCAGAAAAGCTGGTGTGAGGAATAAGCAGGACATGTTTGCAGCCTGACACACAAATTACTCAGTGACTCTTAGCTGTTACTTTTTTTAATTAATAAAGGGTTATTCGTTTATATCTTAAATTTCATATATATATATATTTTTTTTAATAGAGGCATGTTTTATTTATTTATTTGTTTGTTTTTGTTTATACATGCACTGGGTACAGTGAGAAGTGCGGGAGGGTGAGAGAATTCACCAGAGCCAGAGCGGGGAGCAGAGCAGGCAGAAGGACCGAAGTACACTGCTGAGGGGAGCAGCGGGCGGCAGGAGAGGTCTGCGAGCCATGCGGGACCCTCCTACGGTGGCCGGGGAGCAGCCGGGGATCGAACCGGCGCTGCAGAGGCTGCGGGCAGCTTCGCAACCCAGCGCTCAACCGCTGCGCCACTGGGGAGGCCCTCTTAAATTTCATATTGAAGTAACATTGATTTACATTATATAGGTTTCAGGTGTGCATCATTACACACCAACATCTGTACACAGGACATCACATTCACCACGAAGAGTCCATCCTTCACCATATAATTGATCCCTTTTATCTGATTTGCCCTTTTCTCACTTCCCCTGTCCCTTCTGATAGCTACTAACTTGGCCTTACAGTAAAAAGTTTATTATTGCTTTATTTACTGCATTCCTTTGTTTTCTGTCTTTGTGTACCACAAGGGAAATCACAGAGCATTTGACCTATTGTTTTTTAAAGCCTTGAAATATAACAATTATAATCATAAAAAAGTTGAGGAATATTCTTCAGATGCTATTTATTCCCATTATAAGGAATGTACTTGGTTAATTTACATTTTTAAAAAATATTAGATCTTATAAAGAAAGGTAGGTAGATAAATGAATCTCACCATTGTTGAGAACAGGTTTCAACCCCAAAACAGAAGCTGCTGGAAAGGAGTGTAGGTAAAGCTGCCTGGACCATAAATGTCCTGTAAATAAAAACCAAGTTTTTAAAGATATGTTTTTATCAAAAAAAGGAGTATTTTTAACACCCCAAAAATATCAAGATCTAAAAATAAAAGAACCAAGTAAATGTGTAATTTCTGGACTCCGTGACCACCTGCCTAAGGAGGTGACATCATATCTCTTCATTCTTACATCCAACCAGTTACCACATTCTAAATTTTCCTTTAAAAATCAGTCTACCTGTCTGCCTCTCCTTTGTTCAGGCCCCACATCCCTTAGCCACACGATAACACCAGTCTCTAGAGAGGTCCCGCTGCTTCCAGTCTGTCCCCCCACACTCAACATCTGCTGTCAGACAGGCCTTGCTAAATTAACAGGACTGTTGAGGTCAGTTCTGATCTGTCAATACTTTGGCACCTTATTGCCTGCAGAACAAAACAAAACTCTTTAGCATAGCTTCCGGCTATGATCCCAACCAACCACATCATCTCGTCTCTCCTCTCTCCTCTCCCTCCACCCTGCCTCTCTCTGCCCGTGCCACATTGTAGTCAGTCTTAAACTGACTCTACTCTTTCATCCTTTTGTATCTCTGATGCTTTCTCCAGATTTATCTGCAACATGACCTCTTGGGGAAGCTTCCTTGATTCCCAGGGTGCTCCTTCAGCACTCTGCTCTCTCCCTCCCCTGAAGCCCTGAAGCACCAGGCCGAAAGCACCATAGGTACCATATGCTACAGAGTTTTGGAACAGACTCTGACAGCTTTTGCCAGCAATGGATTTTTGAAAAGAATGACAAGACACAGCAGTAGAGAAAGAATAATCTTTCAACAAATGGTGCTGAGGCAACTGAAGATTCACATGCAAAAGATGGGAATTGAGCCCCTTTTCACACCATATGTAAAAATTAATTCCAAATGGATAACACCTAAGGTAAGAGAAAAAACACAAAACTCTTTGAATAACTTCAGGCCAATCATCACAACTATGAATTTGGCCACGTTTTCATAGATATGACACTAAAAACATAAGCAAGAAAAACAAAAAGTAGATAAAGCAGACCATCAAAATTAAAATTTTGTCCTTTGAGACATCAAGAAAGTAAAAAGACAACAAACACATGGCAAAAAGTGTTTGCAAATCATCTACCTGAAGGTATTTATATCAAGACTGAATAAAGAACCCATAAAATTCATTAATAAATAGACTACACAATTTCACAACGGGCAAAATATTAAATAGAAAATATTTTTCCAAAGAGCATATACAAATAGCCAATAAGGACACAAGAGATGCTCAGTAGCCATCAGGGAAATGCAAATCAAAATCACAAGTGACACTGCTTCACATCCACTAGATGACTAAGATCAAAAGGACAGATAATAACAAATGTGGTAGCCAGAAGGTGGAGAAATTACGAATCTTCGTGCACTGCTGGTGGCCAATGTAAAACGGTACAGCTACTTCAGAAAACAGTCTAGAGTTCATTAAAAAAGTTAAACATGGAATTACCATTTTAAACAGCATTTCCATTCCCAGGCATAACATAATTGATAAAAAAAAAGTATGTACACACAAAACTCTGTATACAAATGTCTACAGCAACATTAGGCATAACAGCCAAAAGGTAGAAACAAATCAAATTTTCATCAACTGACAAATGGATACACAAAATGTGATTACATACACATACCAGAATATTCAGTCTTAAAAATGAGATACTGATGACACATGCTATATATGCAAAGGAAGAATGCTGAATACCTTATGCTGAATGAAAGAAGCCTGTCCCAAAAAACCATATAAGACTGTTTATATGAAATTTCCCTAACATGCAAACTACAGAGGTAGAAAGTAGATGAGTCATTGGCTAGGGTTGGAGATAGTGGGAAGCTGGGGGTTTGATAGCTGAAGGGCCAATGCTTTGTTTACATGATGAAAATGTTCTAAACTTGACTGTAGTGATAACTGCAAAGGTCTGTAAATATACTATAAAATTTTTGAATATTTTTAAAGGGTGAATTGTACAGTGTGTTAACAAATAAAGCTGTTACAAAAATAAAAGTTACATGCCAGAAAAAGAAAAATAAACAAGCTCTGGAGTCAGGCTATATACCTGATGTCTTCCTAGCTAGTCTAACCTTGAACTTGTTTGGCACATTTGCATGCTGTAATTTCCTCATCTGTAAAACAGGAATAATAAAGCATTGTGAAGATGAAGTGAGGGAAAAAACAAAAACAGGGTAAAATATTTCTTGGCATACAATAAAAGCTCATGAAAGAAAGGTACAAAACAAAAGCTAGGCGTTATCTGAATGGAACCTTGAAAAAGGTGGTAATAACAGATAAAAGTAGAAAAAACGTTTATGCCATATTTTCCCCTAAATGATTTCGGGTCAAGTTTCCTATCAAAATGAGAAATAAAGAATTTGTCGGGCTTTAGAGGTCTTCGGATTTCAGCATTACGAATGCTGGACTGTGGACTCACAGCAGAACAGAATTTACAGAAAAGGCAAAGTCAATCATGTAACCGTCCCTTAGAGGCAAACACCTCACACAGGATGACAGCACACTGCCCATCCTCAGGCTCCAACACACCAAGAGGTGGGAAGAAAATAACTGCAAAGTTACTAAAGTCCTATACATCCCCCCCTTTTTTAAATATTTATTTATTATTTCAATTTTATATATTTGTACATCATTTTTCATTTTTGCACAATGCATGCATTTTCATCTTGGCCATAGTCCCCATACAATTCCTACCCCCCTTGTTTTGATCCTACTCCCTTCTCCCCCACCCCGCCGTAGTGTGTCTCTGGTTTATAGTTGCTTGATGATTTTGATTTTTACTTTATTATAATTAGTCTTTTTCCTGGTCCCTTATTTGGGTTTTCTAAATTCCTGCTATGAGTGAGACTATCGGATATTTTTCTTTTTCTTTCTGGCTTATTTCGCTGAGCATGATCCAAAGGCACTGAGCAGCCCGAAAAACACAATGACTGACACTAATCCTATCCTCCCCCAGGTTGCCTCGGGGGCCGCCACCCGCCTCGAACCCCCTCACTGACATCACCGAATGAACTACGGATCGCGCCCGCAAGAAGGTGACGCTCGCTTGCTAGTTCCCCGGCCCACACGGCCGAGCACGCGCGAGCGGCTTGGTGAACTGGAAGTGACCCTGGCCGGCGACCAGCCCCCTCACTTCACCGTGCGCCCCCACCCAGAGAGGGCAAGGAAGTACCCAAGGTCACACAGCGGGTCCGTACAGGCCCGAGTGCGATCGCGGAGCCCACGCGCCGCTAGTTCTCGCTACTTTCCACCCAAGCGTCTATAGGTCCCGGGCGAACCCCTGCATCCGCCCGGTCAGAGCCCCTGCACCGGGGTTCCCGGCTCTCACCCGCCGGCACGCCGCACAGCGCAGACAGACAGCCCGCGGCGCGCACCGCCGCCGCCATGGTGGGGCTCACGAGCGCCGGCCTCGGGGCAGCCTGCCGCACCGCCTGCCGCGACAGCGCCTCGTGGAACGGCGCGCCTCGGCCCGCGGCTAAATTCCCGAGGCCAGGGAGCCGCGCCGCAGCGCAGGCCGGGGTGGGAGAGGGCTCGTACCCCCGGAGAGAGTAAGAGAAGTCCGGCGTGGCCGCGGACAGCAACACGGGGGTCCTCTCGCTAGGACCCAAGGGCGGGGCTTGGGCTGGAGGCTGGGGTGGGCGGGGCTTGGGCTGGCGCTGGATGGGCGTGGCTCGGGCTGGCGCCTGGGGTGGGCGGGGCTGCCGGCTGCCCTCTACCTTCTGCCGGGAGGGGACCGCACGGTCCAGACAATCAAAGCGGCGCCCTCTTGGGCGGGTGACTGCTTCGCGTCGCCAGCAGGGACCCTCTCAACCACCAGCGCGGAGCTCGGACGACGAACACCGCAAGGGTCCAAGTGAAGATCAGTGACGAATAAAACAGTATAGAGAAGTTGTTCAAATCCAACTCCAGCTTCTATCCCTTGACAATGTGTTCTCCATCTAATTTTGTTATTTTGAAAATTTCATCATGGAAAAAGCGAGATCAGACAATATGCGAACTTTTGAGATTGTTTCTTTTCACGCAGATGTCCATTTAAGTTTTTTGTTTGTTTGTATTTTCCTTTTTGCTTAACCATTCACACATTGTAAAATACTTAGTTTCCAGTGTGGGGCTATTATAAATAAAAATGATGTGAATATTCACATACTTTATCCTGAAATTTTAACTCGGTAAAATACATACATTGGCTATCTCAGCCGTATTTAAAGTGACTGTTGATTGTCACTGAGGATGTTCAAATTGTTGAGCTACAATCACCACCATCAAGCTCCACAACTCTTTTCATCTGGCAAAACTGAAACTGTATACCTATTAAACAGGAGCTCCCCAGCTCCTGGGATCTGTTAATAGGAGTCTATTATATTCTCATATAAGTAAAATCATACAATATTTCCCTTGGCATTATGTCCTCAAGTTTCGCCCACGTGGAGCATGTCATAATTTCCTTCCTTTTTAAAGACTAAATAAAATGCCATTGTGTGTACACATCACATTTTGTTACTTCATCTGTGGACAATGGGGTTGCTTCTACCTTTTGGCTAATTTTGGATAATGCTGCATTGAACGTGGTGGTACCATTATCTTTTCAAGTCCTTGTTTTCAGTACTTTGGGGTGTTATGTGCAAGTTTTTGTGAGCATAAGTTTTCATTTCTCTGGGATAAATGCCAATGAGATGCTAAATTGTATGGTAACTATATGTACAGTTTTTTAAGAAACTTCTTGATCAGAAGGTCCAATGACAGTGCACATTACACAGGACCCTGGGTGGGAGAGAGTCTGCTTTTATTCTGAGACCCACCCAAAACTATCAGCTATCTGGTCATTCAGTAAATAGGTCAGCGTGGCACATTTGACTAAGATGTATGTTGCCTCCAAGGCTGAAAAGGCCTATTAGGCATTGTGCATCTTTCTTAGTGATCCCTCTTAAGGGGCCAGATGCAACAACTTTTCTTTGTTTGGAAATATATCTTGACATGTCCAAAACACCAGGTCTTTATAAATTTCACTAGCATGGAAGGTTTGGATTTTTAAGGGATTTATTTTCTACTTTCTGGGATATAAGTATATTACCAATGTATCCAGAATAATTACCACATTCTGCTCACGAGATCCAATCAGCCTAACTGATGCCCATGCCAGTCTGATGGCCTATGGAAGAGAAATGCATACGACTTCCCTTCAGCCAAGATTGTGACACTGGGCTGGAGAGCTGGTATATATCCCTGAGGTAAGACCTGAAGGTACACTGCTGACTTTGGATCTGAAAGCATACTGCTTCAGATGGTCTTTACTAACAGGATTAGAAAAAACAGCAACCAGAGCAACAGTTGCATACCAGGTCCCAGAAGACGTGTTTATTTGTCCCAGCAATTAAACCACATCTGAAACAATTGCTGCCAATTGGGGTCCCCACCTGTCATTCACCAAGATGCATCTGTCTTAAGCAGAGACCAGTGGATGTTTTATACAGACTTAGTAGGAAGCATCTTTCAAGTCCTTAACCCATCTCTGCAATCTCTTGGGGTCATTACAGTGCTTTTGTTTTATTATTTTGGTAAGTAGAAGTGATTCTAATGGCTTCCTCTTGGCCTTTCTTACTATAACAGCACTCACCCTAAGGTGATGGAGTTGTGTGGAGAGTCTGTCAGTTATTGATTATATTTAGCCCAGTTATGTATTCCATACTGGGGAAATAACCACAGCCTGGATTCTGGGATCTACTGGGCCCACTGTGAGACTGACTTGAACTTAAGGATTCAGTTCTTCTAATGTCTACTTCTATAAGGTTTGAGGCTCATGCTACGGAAAACATGGAAGTGAAAGAAAATTCTCCATCTATCATTATACCACATAATTAACCTTAATCAAGATAAGGTTCTTAACTAAACCCTCAAGAGGTAATAAATCTCTCGAGGAATTCAAAGAGGCCATTATAAATTATCAGCACTTAACACCCCCATTCTGAAAAAGGTGAAATGTCTACCCTTTACTCAGATGATCTCTGGTGCCCCCATGATGACCTCCTGGGGGCGCCAGATGACTTCAAGTGGAATAATTTTCTATGAAACTACCCATCACAATGCAGACAAATTGGTTAATATCTTAATATTGGCAAATAAAGTATAAAAAGGCAGGTTTTATCAAGTTATTTTTAGGTCATGTGTCAACACAGTTCTTCAAAAATTCTAAGGTGAGACATGGTCAGGAACCAAATCCACAAGGGTCCTCAGACACCTTTAGATGGATTTTATCCAATTTCTACCCTTCATGAGCTTTTAATGTTTTAGATGTTATATGTATGTTTGAAGCATATATATATATAAGCTGAAAAGCTACAGTCCTCACAGTCACTAAAAACAGCTTGATTTTGTGCTTCCAACCTGAGACAGACTGACTTTTATATAAAGTGATCAAGGCATACATTTTGCAAGAACCACTATAACAGAATTCCATGTGGTACCACCCCATACTCAAAAACCATGATGCTCGTACCATCCACAACTAGAAGACTGAAAGAACCAATGGTATCCATAACTTAAAGTTAGCAAAACTGTCAGAATCCTTTTAGCTCCCTGGCTGAAGGTACTCCCAGAAGACTTATGACCAAAAGGTTCACTCGCGTGGGTATAATCAATTATCCCCCTAACAAATGGTATTTGGAAGGCCCATTTATTTAGGGACTTCACTTCCAAGACTAGACAAAATACTGCAAGGGAATAATAAACTATAACCATTCCTATTACAAAGGAGGTCTTCCTCCTTCCCACATCTTTCTAAACAGCCTCTTTATGTCTTCAACCATGAGATTTTGTCTATTACAAGAGGCATCAGAGAAAAATTGTTCTTGATCCTCATTGTATGGAAACTTACAGGTACACTTATGAACAAATTCAACAGTCTAATTCCAGGGAGTCAACTCTTGGGTATACAATTCACAATTAAAAAAAGAAAATCAAAATTGACACTACTGGCAGCCTAGTCCAAAAGACTTCAAACTGAGGATTCTCCAAGATACTCTAGAAGCATTTGAGCTTTAATACATATGGTGGATCAACATCCTTGGAATGAATAGATGACCCTGATAATGAATGACTTCTGCCTAAAGTGTCATACCAACCCCTGTGTCAACATACTGTTTTGTTTTTCATTTGCTGACTTCTTTTTCTTTCTGTCTGCATGAAGCCAGTGCAAACTGGGTCCCTGAACTTTGGGCTTGGCTTCCTCCTCTAGACTCTAAATACTTGAAACAATGTTCTAGTATAAGCTAATTCGCTTTAGTCAAGAATCCTCCAGTTCTTGCAACTCATAGTCCTTGTTTCTCTTTATAAGCTAAAGAACCAACATATGAACTCGAGACACAATAAGCTTAGAGATAAAAATTACAGGAAATAAAAACTGATACCAAAGACACACAAATGGCTTTTGAAATAATAGAGAAGACAGGAAAATAATTTTAGCAGTAGGTTATATACCTATTTATGGCAGTTCCTTGAAAAACATGGAGTTTAATGTTTCTTTATGACACTAATGAGAAAAAATATTCCATATGACATAGATAGAAATTAAGTTATTTGAGGATTTCCTTTCATTACATATCATTTCAATTTAAGCTCAATAAAAGGACATACTGAAATCATTAAGTGAGGACTTACTGTATTGGATTTTTTAATTGATTAGAGGTATTACATACCATAAAATTCACCCATTTATGTGCACAATGCAATGATTTTTAGTAAGTTTGCCACAATCCTCTTTTAGAATATTTCCTTCACCCTAGTAAGATTCTTCTAACATTGAAGTCACTCCCAGTTGTTACCACACTTGCTATTCCCAGTTCTAGGCAGCTACTAACCTACTTTGCCTCTTAAGATTTGCCTTTTCTGTACATTTCATATATTGGAACTAAACAATATGTGTCCCTGGCATCTGGCTATATCATTTACAATGTTTTTCAGGTTTTGCTTTTGTTTAATACCCATATATTAGTGACTATAATGTACAAAAATTTTTCATTTTATTTTTAAAAATCCAAATCTAGTAGCATAAAGATCTGATAAAAATTGTTTTTTGCTCAAACTGTCTTAGGGAAAGGTAAGACATGTTACAGAGAAAGAAGTTCATGGGGTTTTATACAGAGAAGGCCTTCAGTCTCTCAAGTCCCCAGCTATGGCTGTGAGCCAGGAGGAAGGAAGCCCAATTAGGCTGCAGGTCAGGACATGGAATTTAACTGAAGATAGCTTTCCTTAGCTCTAAAAATGGCTGGGCTAGATCATGGATGTTGCTCTGCCAGTCTTGGCCGCCTTCTCTTTACCCATACAAGATCACCCCATTCCCTCAATAACAGGATAGGGAGGAAGAACATACTTCAGTTGTAAATGTAAGCACATCTGGTGAAAATCACCTGGCCAGGTGATTTCTCAGTTTCCTTTCTGCTCTAGATTCATAATGTCAGGTCTGCAAAGCAACTTTCCTCACTGGGGTGAAGCCTTATTGAATGTTGAGGTCTAAACTATATTAATGGGTGTTCCAGTTTTGTTAAATTTCAAGAATCACTCCAGTACAAATTCTCTGATGTAGAAATGGATGGACATCTATGAAGACTTTCCCACGTGCATTTCATCGCCACCATTTCTGACTAGTAGAAATAATTTCACAGATATTAATAAAGGGAAGAGATTTGGCAGGGGGTTCTCCCACATTACCAAATCCACAAAAATTTCCTGAAGGATGAATTCTCTGATGCCTATTATAAACTCTCAGCTATTGGATAATGTGTGCACTCAAAATAAAACTTTTCCATTCATTACATTCACTTGCTTCTCACTAAATGAATTACTAGTGTTCTGTAAGGGAGAAGGTGTAAGGTAAGCTCTTCTCTCTTTTGACATTGACAACGCTTCTCCTTAGTATATACCTTCTGATGTTGAGCAAGATGTGTCCTCTAACCTAGTCTTCCCACATACATTATAATATAGGATCTCTCCTCAATATATATTCTCCAGCAAAAAGCCTTCCTGTATTTGCTAAGTTCACAAAGCATTTTTTCCAGCATGACTTTTCTGATGTTTAAGAAGGGATGCAGTATGAGCAAAGCCTCTCCCACATTCGTTACATTTGTAGGGCTTTTCTCCTGTATGAAATCTATAATGTTGAGTGAGAGATGAACTCTGGCTGAAGGCTCGCCCACATTTATTACATTTGTAGGGTCTCTCTCCAGTATGAAATCTATAATGTACAATGAGAGATGAACTCTGGCTGAAGTTTCTCCCACATTCCCTGCATTCATAGGGCTTTTCTCCAGTATGAATTCTCTGGTGTTTAATAAGGGATGAAGTATGCCCAAAGGCTCTTCCACATTCATTACATTTGTAGGGTCTCTCTCCAGTATGAAATCTATAATGTAGAACAAGAGATGAACTCTGGCTGAAGGTTCTCCCACATTCACTGCATTCATAGGGCTTTTCTCCAGTATGAGTTCTCTGATGTTTAATAAGGGATGAAATATGACCAAAGGCTCTTCCACATTCCCTGCATTCATAGGGCTTTTCTCCAGTATGACATCTCTGATGGCGCCTAAGTTCTGATTGGAAATGAAAGGACTTCCCACATTCATTACACTTACATGACTTCTTCCCTGGATGGATTTTTTGACAATTACTTCTCCCTGAAGTCTGTCTGAATTCTGTATCACATTTATAGGATCCTTCACCTGTGGGAACACTGTGCTGGTTAATAGTGACAGATCTTAAATCTAAACTTCTTCCAAATTCCCTCCATTCATTATCCTCCTAAGCATGCTTGTAGACTCATGAGTAAGTGGTATTTCTTTTCAGATGTCTTTGCCATCTTTTCAGATCCATTTCTAACTAGTAAACAACACAACCACAGGTTATTGTTGTTGTTTGAAGGGACTTGTACCATCACTAATGTGTTTTTCCATTGATGATACCTGGAAAAAATATTTCTCTGGAAATTTTCTACTTAGCATTGACTCCATGACTTAAAGCCTTCTTTCCCAGTGATGGTAGGGGTGCTGAGGTGAACATTCAACATTACCTATTCTATATAATGAAAGATAATGAAGTCCTATAATGGATGTAAAAGAATTAAGCTTTAAAATAATATCTAAGGGGCCTCCCTGGTGGTGCAAGGGATTAAGACGCAACCGATAAAGCTGAGAGAAGGGGTCTTCCTGGTGGAGCAGGGGTTAAATTCTCAGCACTATCAAGCTATTGTCAGCCACTGTGGCCATGAGTTCGATCCCAGATAAGGGAGCTGATCCACATGGCACAGCAGAGCTTTCCTGCCTTGCCCACTGCTCCCCTCAGCAGTGTATTTCAGTAGATATGCCTGTTCTGTGTCCCACTCTGTCTCTGGTGAATTCTCTCACCCTCCACACCTCTGGCCTGTACCCCAATTCTTGTATGCATAAATAAATATTAAAAAAAATAATATCTAAAAGAAATATACAGTTTCATTAAGAATGGCAAATGTCTGAAAAGATTTTGGGGTTAAAAAGCAACAAGTAGGTGATTGGGAAAACTTGAAAGAATGATGTTTGGATTCCAGAACACAAAATAAGAGCAAAGATTGAAAAAACAAGAGGAGGGTAGGTAGATGGCCTCTACAAATCTTGTATCAGCACATCAGTCTACACCACACATTATTGTGTATTATATACATACACATATAATATGTATTATATTACTATATATAATATAGAACAAGAGATAAACCGATAGGCAAAATAATTCTTCCCTACAATACCACTGTTCAAATCCCAGAACCTATAAATATGCTACCTTGGCATGGAAAAAGGGTCTATGCAGATGTGATTAACAGCACAACACTTTAGATGAGGAAATTATGCTGGATTATTCAGATGGGCCCCATCTAATCACACTAATCCTTCAAATCAAAGAATATTTTTGGCGGGGTCAGAAAGACATAATGTGTGAGAACTCAACCAATTTTATGCATGAAAGTGGAAGAAGGACATCACGAGACAAGGAATGTTGCCATCTCTAAAAGCTGGGGCCACCTCTCCCATTGCAGCTGGCAGGATCATGAGGACCTCACTGTTCACTAAAAGGAACTGGATCTGCCAGCTACTCAAATGACCAGGAAACAGATTTGCCCCTTGATACTCCAGAAAGGAATGTAGCTCTGATGAAATCTTGGTTTTAATCATGTGGACCCATACCAGACTTCTGACCTAGAATCAACTTGTAATGCTTTAAGCCATAAGTTTGGGAAATTTGTTTCAACAACAGAAAATTATACAATACAATAAAGATACTTCTGAAAAGGGAAATGACTGGCAATGTCTAACCAGTGTTCCCAGAGGGCAGATGCTGAGTCAAGAGGTCTTGTGTGGCTCCTGCAATCTGAATGCTTCACAAATTCCCCAAGAAATTCTGAAACACAATATTGTAGATATTGATCACAAGACTAGATCTAGATTCTGACCCTTCTTATTCAGGAAGAAAAGATAACCAAGAAAATGAGAGTACAGACAATATCAGTATCTCACTATCTTCTATTCCAGGCTCCTATGAACAGGCCCAGACAATGCTCTCAGGACTTGAGTGCTGCTTTCTGATCCTCAGCTCTGGCCTGAGGCTCTGAACCCTGCCTCAGAGAAAGAAATAAGCACAGACTGAAAACTGCCTCCACTATGCTTCAGCTACACATGGCAGTCAGGAGAGCTTTGAGTCCAGAATTCTGCTCCAATTCTGGATCAGAGATCCTTGTGGACCCTTCCAGGTACTCTCAAGTCTCCTGGAATAAACAGTATCAAAGAGATGCTACACTAAAATAGTGTTTGTTCCTGGAAACACCTCTGTTGCGGTTCAGTTTCATCATTTTGCAGTTTTCCTCACCTCTTCCTAATATCATATCTGTCCTTGTCTGTAACCCTTTAATTTCTAAGCTTCCCAACTGTTCTTCTGTTTGATCATCTGCTAACTCCCTGAATCCTGATGATATAGGAGCACCTGACCATTCATGACTTAAGCCCCAGATAACACTGACTGTGTGATATATAGTGGACCTGCAGGGAGAAGGGTACCAAAGGAAGAGTAAATGCTAGAGAAGAAAACGAACATCTCTTATTCTAATGCCTAAGATAATTATAAAGCCTATGAATATTAAAAATAGTAGGCAAGAGCTCCTGGCAAGCAACTTCACCTTTCAAAGAGAGCCCAAGGGTTCACAGCAATTTCCCACCAGTGCTGGTTGTTATTACCTGTGATATTACTGAGATCTCACTCATATCACTCACCTGAGTGGGCACCTTTTGAGATTTCCCCCTCTAACACACAGGGCTCTTCCCCTTCCTCTAGTTGGCAGATCACATATGGTTTGGTTACTGGAAGCCCTGATGGTACAGAAAGAAAAGGATAATGACCATGTATGTTAGAAGCTAAGCCGCTGGACCTTGGTCTTTAGGTGGGAGAAATATAGGTTAGGTTAGCTCCAAAGAATATGTAATGAGTAATATCAGGTACAGAATCATAACATTTCTCATTCCAAATGCTCTGAGCAGGACTTTCCCTAGAAATGAGGAACAGAAGGACTCTTATTTCCATGCCTCCAAGAGAATATGAATATCTGAATCCAGAACCTAAAGACAAAACTGAGCCAACTGGCAGAGAAGCATCTCAGTTTTGAGACCCAAGAAAACAAGTATGGCCTAGTGCACAGGCTTTGGGCTTTAGAGCAGTTGTACTTACCCAAGGAGGCCAGATTCTTGAAGTTTTCCAGCATGACCTCCCTGTACAGGTCCTTCTGTGCAAGGTCCAACTGCCCCCATTCCCATGGGGTGAATTGGACAGCCACATCCTTAAATGTCATCATGTCCTGAAAGGCAAAAGACAGTGATGCAGCCTCAGGGTACACACTCATGCCTTGAGGAGAAAAATTTTGGATATCTAAGAACCTGGGGTTGTGCAAGAAGAGACTCTAAGAATTCCTAGCTGTCACAATTCCCAGTTTTGTTTTGTTTTTTCATGTCAAAGTATTATTTTAAGGTGTTCCAGAAATTTCTCCCCAAATTCAATGGAAAGGCCGGTCTGTGCCACCTCATCTGCCACCTCATCTGCCATTACACACATGCTTAGGGTGAATGGGGTTCATCCTGAGCAACAGAGTGTCCTCACCACTGTGGGCGTAACACTCCTCCAAGGCCAGGTCTCTCTCCTATTACTTGCTGCTCATCCTAGTGCCCAGTACAGAAACAACCCAGAGCACATGAGAAGTGTGCACAGAGCAGCGAGGAGACGGCAAGGACAGGGAAGCCAGCATCCACCTTGATGGGTGCAGCCTGCACAGCAGGAGTTGGGGTCAGGTCCCCTCAGGAACAAAGAGTCTCCAGAGAAAGAGGCAAAGATAGCCACAGCTCAGGCATTGGAGGAAAATTCAGGGAATTCCAACTCACCTGGAGCCTGGTTTGCAGCAACAAACTAGCTGTTCCCTTTTCTCCTGGGCATGTCCCTGGAAGAAGAACAGAGAAGGGGGAACTAGGCTAATCCTTATGGTGTTTATAGCTCCCAGGCCCCCCAGCTGGAGATCCCTACACAACCATGAGAATCACCTCCATGCTTTGGGGACAGAGGGAGCTCAGGGGCAGCCTCTAACTGCACACATCACAGACAAACACCCCTGCACTGCCACCCCATCTGTCCCCAACTGCAAGCAGTTGAAGTCTAACCACAAGGTGGCCACGCCCTTAGGCAGTAAACCCTGCATTTCCAAATGTAGGTCCTCTCCTAGGCTTTTGAAAGCATAAACACAGAAGAGACCTTCAAGGAACTTAAAGTCCAGCCTGCAGGGATAAGACAGGTTAACAGTACAAAACAAGGCCCAGTAAACCACAAGGAGAGGCAGAAAACTTTCAAGGGGAAAAATATTCACCTTCCCTTGTCCTTGGCAACACAGCCTAGTCCAGTTCTTCCTGAGAAGCTGGCCTCCCTGTTCTCAAGCACCCTTATGTCTCTGTGGCATATTCTGAGAGACCCTCTATTATAGGACTTGTAAATATTTGACATTTGAAAACAAAACTACTCCCACCAGGGCCAGAGACATGGTTAAGGCCAACAACAAAGCAAACAAGTGGGAGGTGGCAGAGTACAGTGGAGCCGACACTTCTCAACCCAATGTGCAATGGATGCCTGAGGGTCCTGTTACATGGACTGTGGCTCAGGGCATGTGGGGAAGGGCCCAAGAATCTGCATTCCCAGAGCTTCCAGGTGCTGCCAGGGCTGCTGGCCTACAGACCACACTGAGTAGCAAGCACCTAAGGGGGAAGGAGAAGGTGTGAGCGCCCCAAAGATTTGACTCAGTTCTGCCAGTGGCCAGGTCTGTGACCTTGGGCTTTTGTGAAGAATGAAAAGTCAAATTAAAATGTCCGCTTGGTGAAGAGCTGCACATTCTAACTTAGAAAAGAGTAGCTTAAAACTTCCTGGGTCACCTGGATTGCACTGTCCCCAACAACAAGGGGGTGGGGTTAGGTAGGAGGCTAGAAGGGCTGGAAGAGTCTTATTACATAATGAAGTGGTAAAGGACATGGGTGGCAAGGCTCCAAGGATCCCCACTAAGCCCTGCTCCTCACAGGTGTTTGCTCTTCCCCTGCCACAGCAGCAAGAGATCCTCTCCTGCCCTGCGCCCTCGCCTCTTGCAAGGCATGTCTTTGGGACCTGTCCTCCTGGCCATCCCTTCCACCTCCACTTTGGTCTCAGGATGCTGGGACTTCATGCCCCTGGGCCAGGGAAGGTAGTTGCAGACTCTGCCTCTCCAGTGGGATCCCCAGGCCTCTCTCTAGGGTCCTCTTCCTCCTAGAGTCCCAACTAACTCCCCAGGAGGGATTCTGGCCCTTTGCAAACTTGAGAGCAAACCTGATGCTGTCGAGTCCATAGCTGGGGCTAAAGGGCGACGTCCTTTCACTAGGTCCAAATCTCAGTCCTTCAGCACAGACCCTGAGGTCTTCTGGCCTCCTGAGGGTTCAGGAAGCGGGGAGCAAGCTGGGTGACAGGGGCATTCCCCTCTGGTCGCGATGTCCAGCCGCACAGAAAGGCCAAAGCAGGGTTGTCATACCATGCATGAGCCCCGCGCGGGCGGGGAGCGCGGGTGCCCTGCGCGGGGCTTCTGTCCCACTGGAGCGCGCGCTCTCCACGCCCGCAGCGAGCACCGCCAGGAGGCAGGGCCGCGGCCACTCCCGCCACCCAGATGCCCAGCGCTCCTCCGCCTGGAGAGCCTTAAGGGGGCACGGACGGACCCTGCTATTCTGTCCCCAGTTCCAGGTGATCACAGCCTCTCGCAGGCGGGCAGTGGCGGGACACTCCCACCTCTGCAAGGACTTCAGGGGCGGTGCCCAGCGCAGTCTTGCGATCCCGGGTTGCCAAACTATCGAGAGTCAGCGACACCCACTCCCAACCCGCTTCAGCCCCCACCCACCCCTATCCCCACCCAGGCACTTCGCGAGCCTGCGCAGATTGGCCTCCCGGTCAGTGGCGGAGTCGTCAGGGGCGGGTCTTCCGGCGCCGAAAGAGCAGCGCCTGGGTCCTGGCGAGATTGGCTGCTGCTTCGCGGTAACATCCAGCTGAGTAGAGTTTCACCCTATACCCTGATGGTCTGAGAACTGAAACTAACTACCATCTTGAGGTGCGATTTTTAAAATCTGGGTCCCATACGATGGTTTGGGGCTTTCCGATTGAAGTCCCTGGAAATTTGTTAAAAAGAGAAGCCAGGATCGAACCCCTGAATCTGTCAAATAAGGGTTTCCAGGAGCCTCCAGGCATGTGCTTCTTAGATGGCACCCAAGAGATACTGACTGACGGCTCACTCCTAGCTACTGACTGCTATTCTTTTTTCTTTCTCTCTCTCTCTCTCTCTCTTTTTTTAAAAGATTTATTTATTTATGCATACAAGAGCTGGGGTACAGGCCAGAGATGCGGGGGGGGGGGGGGTGAGAGGATCCACCAGAGACAGAGTGGGAAGCAGAACAGACTGATTGACTGTAGTACACTGCTGAGGGGAGCAGCGGGTGAGACAGGAGAGGTCTGCTGTGCCGAGTGGGTTGCTCCCTGGCCGGCCAGGGATCGAACTCTTGCTGCAGAGGCTGCAGATTGCTTCATAGTGTGGTGCTTAACCCCTTGCGCCACAAGGGAGGCCCCTGACTATTCTATGGCTGTTTCTGCTCCACTTTTCTCCCTGTCACCCTGATTTAGTTCAGCCGGGACGATTCAGACTTTGTCCTGTTCCAGAAATGGATGTCATTTAGGAACTAAAACAAACGGGGAAATGGCTGAATATTAAAACGATAGTTCTCTGGAGGCAGTCCTCAACCAAAGAAGAGACCTGAAAGATTGGTTTACAGATGGTACTTAGGACTTTGGGGAGAAGTAACCCATTATATCAGGGTAAAAAGGCCGTTTTCCTGTCTTTCTTTCAGCCTGGTTCACTTACACCACTTCGCATCTTGGCGCTGATGGCCACCATGGCACAGCAAGTGCCCAGCAAGTAAGTCCTCTTCCTCCCAAAACCCGGATGGATAGAGCGGTGACTTCCCTGGGAAGCATGGTTGGTACAGTTTTTGTTCTTTTCTTGCTCTCGAACCAAAGCATGAGAAGATGGACAAATGAGAAACAATGTTGATCTCATTGGTGGCACAAGGTAACTACGTAGAAATGGAACTTCTTCAGAGGAACTAGTGGGACACTGCCTGTCCCTGATACCTTTCCTTTTGACATTGGCCTACTAGTGTCTGTAATTTTCAGTTGACATCAGATCACTTCATTCTCATATCCAACCAGTTACCATGCTCTAAATTTTCTTTAAAAATCAGCCTACCTGTCCACCTCTCCTTTGTTCTAGGCCACCACATCCCTTAGCCACACAGTAACACCATTCTCTTGAGAGGTTCCACTGCTTCTGGTCTGTTCCCCCTTGCACTCAATGTCTACTTTTAGACAGGCCTTGCTAAGATAATCAGGACTGCTCATATCACAGCCCTGATCTATCCCATATGTCCTTAAATGGTAAGGTGTATTCTAGTCCCATTTTTTAAAAGATTTATTTATTTATGCATACAAGGGCTGGGGTACAGGCCAGAGATGCGGGGGGGTCAGAGAATTCACCAGAGGCAGTGGGGAACAGAACAGGCAGATTGACTGAAGTACACTGCTGAGGGGAGCTGCGCGAGTCAGGTGAGGTCTGCTGTGCCGTGTGGGCTGCTCCCTGGCCGGCTGGGGATCGAACTTGTACTGCAGAGGCTGTGGATTTCTTCATGGTGCAGCGCTTAACCCCTTGCACCACCAGGGAGGCCCTTTATTCCCATTTTTAAGAGTTTTTTCCATTTATTAATGTGGTAAAGTACAATGATCAATTTTTATATGTTGAACCATCATTGCATCCCTAAAATAAATCCCACTTGGTCATGTTTGATCATTTTAATGCATTGTTGATTTTTTTTAAGATTTACTTTTATTTATTTATGCATAAAAGAACTGGGGTGTAGGCCAGATGTGGAGGGGGGTGAGAGGATTCACCAGAGACAGAGTGGGGAACAGAACAGGCAGATCTACTGAAATACACTGCTGAGGGGAGCAGCGGGTGAGGCAGGAGAGGTCTGCTGCACCATGTGGGTTAGCTCCCTGGCCAGAGTCAAACTCATGCTGCAATGACTGGCTATAGCTTGATAGCACTGAGACTTTAACTCCTGCACCCCGAGGGAGGCCCTTGCTAGGATTTTTTTTGAGGACTTTTGCATCTCTGTTCATCAGGGATGTATTGTTCTATAGATTTCTTTATTTGTTGTTGTTAGGGGAAATACATAATTTCAACATAGTAAATAAACATGACAGAATAAAGACACTATGGGAATTTTCTTTTTATCCTTTTAATAAATACATATGAATAAAAATACTTTCTTTTGCAGAGACTGCCTCTCCTCCTCCAAATTCAGGGAAGCCCTGTGGCCACTGCTGATGTGGCTGCAATGTCCATGATCTGTACTCCTGGACTGTAACCATCCCCAACCAGCACAGTTCATAGTGGCTGTCCCTTGGCTTAAGCAGTGCAGAGACAATAACCCTGCTCACTGGAGCAACCAACAAAAACATATTTTGCATGCACTGGGATCTCCAGTTCTTCCAGAATGATGGTATATGGCTGCTTCTGGTCTTTGCTTTTCCACATAGATTTTAGAATTAATATGATATGAACTAAGACCCAGCAACTAACTTAGAAAATAACTGTTACAGAAAAGGACACAAAGAAGTAACAGATGAGAAAAAAAATGGTGTAGCAATAGTTAGTGGGTCTATGTACTTGATTTCAAAAACCTTTTGTTGTATATTTTTTATACCATAAAATTCACCCATTTATGTGCACAATGGAGTGACTTTTAGTAAGTTTGTCAAATTTCTCAACCATCACCACAATCCTCTTTTAGAACATTCCTACACCCCAATAATATTCTTGTAACATTTGCAGCTACTCCCAGTTGTTAACCACAGTTACTACTCCCAGCACCAGGCAAGCACTAATATATTTTTATCTCTGTAGATTTGCCTTTTCTGTACATTTCATATAAATTTCATATATACATGTCCCTGGTTTCTGGCTATATTATCTATAATAATGTTTTTTCAGGTTTTGCTTTTATTTATAATACCCCTATTTTCATGCTTCTAAATGTTTTTCATTTTTCTTTAAAAAATCCAAATCCAGTAGCATAAAGATCTAATAAAAATTGTTTTTTGCTCAAACCTAAAAATACCACCCATTGCCTCTTAGGGAAAGGTAAGAATTGTTACAGAGAAACAAGTTCATGGGGTATTTATACAGAGAAAGCCTTCAGTCTCTTAATCCCCCAACTACAGCTGTGAGCCAGGAGTAAAGAGCCCCATCCCAGCTAGGTCTGCAGGCAAGGGCACTTTCTGAAGATGTTTCCTTAGCTCTGAAATATGGTTGGCTTGGATCACTAGTGTTTCTCCATCATTCTCAGCCTCAGCTCTTCACCCATACAAGAACACCCCCCACTTCATCAGTAACAGAATAGGGAGAAAAAACAAGTACAGTTATAAAAATTCAACTGCCTGATAGAAAATCACCTGACCAGATGGTTTCTTAGTTTCTTTTCTTCTCTAGATTCATGACTCTCAAGTGTGAAAAAAAACTTTACTCGCACTCACTAAGGTCCCAGGTTTCTCTTTGGGATGAAGCCTCATTGTATGCTGCGATACAAATTATACAGGTGGAATTTTACAGTTTCACTAAATTTCAGAAGTCACACTCGTACAAATTCTCTGATGTGCAAGTAGGTGGGACATCCAGGAAGACTTTCCCACATGCGTTACATTGCCAAGGCTTCTAAATAGTACAGTGAGATTGCTGATGTTTATAAAAGGAGGAAGTTTGGTTGGGGACTCTCATATATTCACCATATTCACAGAAATTTTCTATGGGAGGAATTCTAGTGCCTAATAAGGGATAGCTCTGACTCAATGTCTTCCCACATTTAGTGTTTTAAAAGGTTTTTTTTGATATTTGTTCTTGATGCTTAGTAAGAGAAGAAGTGTTACTAAGAGCTTAATGCCACACTATCAAGAGAGTTTCTGCAGTGTGATTTTTTTTTTTGGACCATCATGTGGCTAAAGGTTGTTATACTCCTTACATTGATAAAGGTTCTCCACTACTGTATTAGTTGTCTTATATGAATTATGTGTGTCCTCTTACTAAAGAATTTTCAAATTCATTACAGTCACCAAGTTTCTCACAAGGACAAATCCCTAGTGTCTGATAGGGAGGAAGTATGAGGGATGGCTCATCCTCTTTATTGACAATGATAGCACATATCTTTAGTAAATACTCTGTAGTGCTGAACAAAATGTGTCCTCCAACCTAGGCTTCCTGAATACTTTACACTTATATGGGCTCTGTTTGGTATATATATTCTGAAGGTTTAGTGATATATGTACTTCAGCAGAAAGCCTTCCTGCATTTGCTGAGTTCACAGAGCATTTTTTCCAGCATGACTTTTCTGATGTTTAAGAAGGGATGCAGTATGAGCAAAGCCTCTCCCACATTCGTTACATTTGTAGGGTTTCTCTCCTGTATGAAATCTATAATGTTGAGTGAGAGATGAACTCTGGCTGAAGGCTCGCCCACATTTATTACATTTGTAGGGTCTCTCTCCAGTATGAAATCTATAATGTACAATGAGAGATGAACTCTGGCTGAAGTTTCTCCCACATTCCCTGCATTCATAGGGCTTTTCTCCAGTATGAATTCTCTGGTGTTTAATAAGGGATGAAGTATGCCCAAAGGCTCTTCCACATTCATTACATTTGTAGGGTCTCTCTCCAGTATGAAATCTATAATGTAGAACAAGAGATGAACTCTGGCTGAAGGTTCTCCCACATTCGCTGCATTCATAGGGCTTTTCTCCAGTATGAATTCTCTGATGTTTGATAAGGGATGAAATCTGACCAAAGGCTCTTCCACATTCCCTGCATTCATACGGCTTTTCTCCTGTATGAGTTCTCTGGTGTTTAATTAGGGATGAAGTATGCCCAAAGGCTCTTCCACATTCGTTACATTTGTAGGGTTTCTCTCCAGTATGAAATCTATAATGTAGAATAAGAGATGAACTCTGGCTGAAGGCTCTTCCACATTCGCTGCATTCATAGGGTTTTTCTCCAGTATGAGTTCTCTGATGTTTAATAAGGGATGAAATATCACCAAAGGCTCTTCCACATTCACTACATTCATAGGGCTTTTCTCTACTGTGACATCTCTGATGGTGCTTAAGTTCTGACTGAAAATGGAAGGACTTTCCACATACACTACATTTGTAAGATTTCTTCTCTGGATATATAATCTGAAAGTTATTTCCCCTTGAAGTCTGCTTGAATTCTGTGTCGCATAAGTAGGATACTTCTCCTGTGGGAAGAAAGAGTTGGTTAACGAAGACCAATGTTAAGTCTGTCTCCAGATTCACCCCATTCATGATCTCTCCTAATAGTAGCAGTAGATTTGAAATGATATTTCATTCAGATAGCTCTCCTTTTTTTTTTTTTTTTGATGCATCTCTAATCATCATAGCCATAAGCTGTTAGCTTAGAAGGTCACATTTCATCTCTAATATTTTTTTACACTGATACTATCTGGAATAGTTCTTTTCTGGAAATATCCTGAATTAGCATTGATTTTTTTTTTTTTTTTTTTTTTTTTTTTTTGGTTATAGGTCTTCTTTCCCAGGCTGGGGGTGAAAAAGGCATTCTAGAATTACCTGTTCAATGTACTGAAAGGAAGTGACATCCTATAAGGAATGTAAGATAAAGTTAAAAAAAAATAAAAGTACAGTTTTATTCAAGAATGACATATGTCTAAAGAGGTTTTAGAGGTAAAAAGTGACAAGCAGATAGTTGAAGACTAAGATAGCAAAAAGAACAGTATTTGGATTCCAGGGCATAAGATAATAGCAAAAATAGTAAAGATGAGTGGTAAGCAGATGGCCACCACAAATCTTCTTTCAGCACTCTAGTTCACACCATACATTATTGTGTATTATATACATATATATACAATGTGCATTATATTACTATATATATAATGTGATAGGTAGAATAATTCTTTCCTAAGATATCAATGTCTGATTTTACCTAGGCATGACAAAAGGGGGTCTGCAGATATGATTACTAGCAAAGCCCCTGAGGTGAGGAGATGTCCTGTATTATTCAGATGGTCCTATCTAATCACATTAATACTTCAAATCAGAGAACATTTCCTGGCTGGGTCAGAAAGAGGATTCAACCATGTTCTGTCCTGAAAGGTGGAAGAAGGCCACCATTATACAAGAAATATGGTCATCTCTAGAAGCTGAGAATACCCCTCCCATTGCAGCAAGTAAGATAATGAGGACCTCACTATTACAATAAAAGCAACTTGATCAGGAAACAGATTCTCCCCTGAATACTCCAGAAAAGAAGACAGTTTTGAAGAAATATTGGTTTTAGTCATGTGGACCCATACCAGACTTCTGACCTAGAATCAACTTGTAATGCTTTAAGCCATAGGTTTGGGAAATTAGTTTCAACAACAGAAAATTATACAATACAGTAAAGATACTTCTGAAGAAGGGAATGACTGGCAATGCCTAACCAGTGTTCCCAGAGGTCAGATGCTGAGTCAAGAGGTCTTGTGTGGCTCTTGTGATCTGAATGCCTCACAAGTTCCCCAGGAAATACTGAAACACAATCATGTTTGTAGATATTATAGATACTGATCATGAGACTAGATCTAGATTCAGACCTTTGCTCTCATTCAGGAAGAAAAGATAACCAAGAAAATGTTAGTACAGACAAGATCAGTTTCTCACTCTCTGTCTTCTAGTTTAGGCTCCTATCATCACGCCCAGTCAGTGCGCTCAAAATTTGAGCACTGCTTTCTGATCCTCAGCTCTGGCCTGAGACTCTGAACCCTGCCTCAGAGAAAGAAACAGGCACAGACTGAAAACTGCCTCCACTATGCTTGAGCTACACATGGCAGTCAGAAGAGCTTTGAGCACAGAATTCTGCTCCAGTTCTGGATCAGAGATCCTTGTGGACCCTTCCAGGTACTCTCAAGTCTCCTGGAATAAATAGTATGAAAGAGATGCTAGACTAAAATAGTGTTTGTTCCTGGAACCACCTCTGTTGAGGTTCAGTTTCATCATTTTGCAGTTTCCTCACTTCTTCTTAATATCATATCTGTCCTTGTCTGTAACCCTTTAATTTCTAGGCTTCCCAACTGTTCTTCTGTTTGATCATCTGCTAACTCCCTGAATCCTGATGATATAGGACTTAGGTCCCATATAACACTGACTGTGTGGTATCTAGTGATGGTGCATGGAGGAGTGAGCAAAGAAGGGTACAAAAGGACGAGTAAATTCTAGAGAAGAAAATTAACATCTCTATTCTGATGCCCAAGATATTTACAAAGGCCTATGAGTATTCAAAATACTGGACAAGAGCTCCTGGCAAGTGACCTCACCTTCTCAAAGGAGAGCCCCCTGCGCAAGGGTTCAAGGCAACTTCTCGCCCACTGCTGGCTGGCAGTGATGTTACTGATGTCTCACTCATATCACTTACCTGAGTGGGCACCTTTTGAGATTTCTCCCTCCAACACACAGGGCTCTTCCCCTTCTTCCAGCTGGCAAATCACATATGGTTTGGACACTGGAAGCCCTGGTGGTACAGAAAGAAAAGGATTGTGACTACATATATTAGAGATTAAGAGTTTGGTCCTCCTTGGTTTTCATGGTAGAGAAATACTGTAGGTGTGCTTAGCCCTCAAAGAATATATAATGTGAACTATCAAGAACAGAGTCCTGAAACTTCTCATCCAATTTGTATGGAGCAAAACTTATAGAAATGAGGAGCAGAAACACCCTTATTTCTGTGCCTCCAAGAGAATGTAAATATCTGATTCCAGAACCTAAGAACAAAACTCAGCCTATAGGCCCAGAAACCTCTAGCTTTTACATAGCATGGCAATAAAGATGGCCTGATTGGGAGGCTTTGGACTTGAAGCAGTTGAACTTACCCAGGGAGACCAGGTTCTTGAAGTTTTCCAGCATGACCTCCCTGTACAGGTCTTTCTGAGCAGGGTTCAGCTGTCCCCACTCCCACTGGGTAAATTCCACAGTCACATCCTTGAATGTCACCATGTCCTGAAACACAGAAGACAGTCTTGCAGTCTCAGTGAACACACTCATAGTGCTGGGTGGAAACATGGACAGGTGTCCTAACAGAACTTTGAGTTGTTCAAAAGGGATTCTGAGTGGTCCTAGATATCCCAATGCCCAGTTTTGGGTTTTATTATGTCAAAAATATTTTAATGTACTCCAAGAACTGTATCATCCTTGCTACTTTGTATCCCTGCCAGCACCCATTAATGTCAGAATATAATTAGGGTTTTGGGAAAATCTTGCCTACAGTAGACACATGCTAATTTGGGGCCTATAAATGGAACCATTTCCTCAGTCATCAAGTGGTTTTACTCTTTAATTAGGTTCAATTTGACATAAGAGACAAATATTCCTTTCATTCCCAAATGCATACTTCTAATTATTTTTAAAACTAGTGACCTATAACTTTAATGACAATTTATCCCCATATCCATTTGTCAGCTCACAGCTTAGCAAATGTAACCAAGTGGTCTCATAGTGAATCAATAAGTCCTTTGTGAGTTTGATTAGAGTGGATCCTTCCCCCCAAATTCTAATCATGTTTTTCACTCCTGATTGTACAAAGTGAGAGTCCAATCCTGGATCCAGTTCATCACAAAGTGCAACTATTTGGTTGACTCTTCCGGCACTATCCTGTCACCCTCTATAATAGGAATTAGAAGACCTGCTATTTGACTTCTATTGTAATCCATATGCTATCAATTGTAAGGCAAAGAAGTGAAGACAATATAAATTCATGTTACTCTCCCTTCAAAGTATTTAAAAATCAAATCCCACATAGACATTAATGATTCCATGGTATAAATCAAAGTAACAACTTTACATTAATATATAAGTTAGTCCAAAATCATCAAATGAGGAAGATTCACTCCCATAGTAATGTTTGTAACAGATTATATTATTGTTCAAATAGTCACTGGTCCTCCCTATAGGATGGAACTTCTTGCCCCAGAGACCCAGGTGTAGTCAAATAATCTGCTTTCCCAAATGGAAAGAAAGGAAGAGACATGAGCTACAAAAGAAAAAAGCTTTCAGAGATTTTCTCTCTGCTTTGAAAACAGTAAATGATCCCAGGTGAGGATTTCCCTTTTTCTCCATAGTTTGCCTGTATGGCAATTTGGGCAAAAAATAAACTTTTGTTGATGTAAGTCTCTGAGAGTTTGCTGTTGTTATTATAGTAAACTAGTCTAAAGTGACTAAAATCTAGTTCTCAAAGTGGGACTATCCAATAAGAAAAAGCCTAAAACATATGACATTGGCTTCAAGGCCAGGCATTGCTGAAACCTATATAACCTATGTAACTTGGTAATTTTACTGTTTGGTAAAATTGTCATCTACAATAACTTGAAAGATAAAGAACATAAGCATGAGTTTCTGGTTTTATGAGAAAATTCTGGAAATACAACATTAGTAGTCTAAATTGGTTGTTACATGTTTCATTTGCCAAAGTATATTAAAAGGAAAAACAATAATCTCAAAGTTTGCTAATTTGCAGAATAAAAATGCTGGGTAAGAAAAAGTGTCCAGAAATCCCTGGATTTGCAGGGTTGGAAATTTAACCAATTCTCATTTCCAACTGGCCAAAGACAACATAAATAATGCCTTTTAATGCCTTTTAAAACATAAATAAACCTTTTGACCAAGGATGATTTAAACTCAGCTACTTGCAAGGACCAAGTCACAAACCTGGTTGTCAAACCTTTTGTTTAAACCTCTGAATGATTCCCAGTAAATCGCTTCAGTGTGACCAAATTGCTCGGAGTGACTAAAATATGGTTTCGCAAAGAAATTCCAAAAGCTCTACAATTAAGTGGGGGGCCTCCCTGGTGGCACAGGCAGTTGAGTGCAGCGGTGTAAAGCTGTCCACAGCCTCTGCAATGCTGATTCGATCCCCGCCGGCCTCAGAGCAACCCACATGGCAGCAACCCACATGGCAAGCACACCTCTCCTGTCTTGCCCACTGCTCCCCTCAGCAGTGTATTTCATCAGTCTGCCTGTTCTGTTCCATGCTCTGTCTCTGATGAATCCTCTCACCCTCCCATGCATCTGGCCTGTACCCCAGTTCTTGTACAAATAAAATAAATCTTAAAAAAAAAAGAACTATGGCTAAACTGTTGACACATGGAGCTGACAGAAGCAAACATATTAAAAGCTTTTATGTTTGAGTTATATTCAACGCTCATGACTTGAAACAATCCTTGGGTCATCAGCCTCTAAAGAAGAATGAAAGAGTTGTTCAGCACTCAGGAGAGCTTAATCTCCAGTATCATAGTCATATGTGACCACAAATACCACAAAAGGAAGGAATTTTTGAAGGGCAAATACCAGAGTCAAGGAGAACATGACTGGGACCTCCATCCAGGGAACAGAACCTCTACATTGCCAAGACTTTCCCCATTCCAGAGTCAGCGGTCCTCCTTAAGTATGCCCAGTGAGATTCCATAATTGTTGTGGACCTGGGACTGCTGGGGTCCTCCTAAGCGCCCCTTCCTACATAGGGGAGCTCTTTGTGGCTACTCTGTCCCTATTTTTCCATCATAAGTTGGATATAGGGATTCAGGCAATTTGTGTTTTGTTCAGAACATTCAGATATGATTTGAAACTATCACATCACCCAGGACTTTGATCCTGACTGTTGACTGGATGGGGCTTTTGCATTCATTCTCTTGGGGAGAGATTTCACTTGCAGGATGGAGAAAAGTAACCATCTGTTGGTAAGAAAACACACAGTGGCACCCTATTTATTCAAAAGTGTCACTGCTGCTCCTTTTGGGCCCCTTACTATAGGACTTTTATATTTCCCACCTCACTGGCATTAGACATGGTTACATGCCCTACTTCTACCAACAGGTAGTGAACAGAAGTGACATGTGCCACATCAGAGCAGAATCTTGAAGAGTCATCTAGTCCTGACACTGCACTTTCAACTGTCACAAGAACAGCACATTACAGACCAGAGTTGATCCTTCAGCCTGAATCTCAGAGCAAAGAGGGGGTGGAGCAGTCACAGTCAGTCCACTACAGATGTAAAACACAAACAACACGCTCTTATCACTGTGAGCCACCAAGTCTGGAAGCTGTTGTTCCCACACCATAACTAGACCAAGCATGCTGATAACTTCCGAGTAGTATGTAGCAAGGTCAAAGAGATGTAAACTCTATTACTATCCTAATTTGGGGAGAATTCCTATGTGTAGGGGTTTCCCCTGTTGGTTCGAAACTTTAAATATTAAAGTCTGTCATCATGCTGGAATCCCACTAACCTACTGGATTGGATATTAGGAAACTATGCAGGCTGGAATGTTAGGAAACTAGTAGTCTAAATTGGTTGTTATAGGTTTCATTTGCCAAAGTATATTAAAAGGAAAAAAATAACCTCAAAGTTTACTAATTTGCAGAATAAAAGTGCTGGGTAGAAAAAGTGTCCAGAAATCCAGACTGGATGTTAGGAAACTATGTAGGTTGCCCCTTCACATCCAGCCCACACAGCCAAAAATGAACCCACCTCTGCCATCATTTCCCCCATCATCCCATAGCAACCAAAGGTGACAGGATTAAATGCAAGAAAATTGCAACAAACATGTGAGGTAGTTGTATTATTGAATGGCTAACACCTTAGAATCAAACAACCTAGCTTTGAAACTGGGCTCCCACCTTATTAGCTAATCATGAACTGGTGATTTTATCTCTCTTGCCTCGGTTTCCTCAGTTTACCACTCTATATAACTGTCATTCTTCAAATAGGGATGTTTTAAAGAGTCTGCATATATAAATTGTTTGGAACAATTTTTTTTTTTTTTTAGAGGCATGTTTATTTATTTATTTATTTATTTGTTTGCTTGTTTTGTTTATACATGCACTGGGTACAGTCAGAAGCGCGGGAGGGTGAGAGAATTCACCAGAGCCAGAGCGGGGAGCAGAGCAGGCAGAAGGACCGAAGTACACTGCTGAGGGGAGCAGCGGGCGGCAGGAGAGGTCTGCGCGCCATGTGGGACCCTCCTCTGGTGGCTGGGGAGCAGCCGGGGATCCAACCGGCGCCGCAGAGGCCGCGGGCAGCTTCGCAACCCAGCGCTCAACCGCTGCGCCACCGGGGAGGCCCTGTTTGGAACAATTTGATACATATCTGGTTCTAAATAAGTAATAATAGTATTTTATTAGTTTTATCATTATCATTAACAAGACTATGACACTCATTTCATAGTTGGTAAAACCAGTGATAAAAGAAGGTAGGGGACTTTCTATAGTCATGTGGACAGGAAGTACTGGGGTAAAAATATCTTCTCCCTAATAAGGAAAGATAACAGACAGGGAGCTAAACTCATAAGAACTCCTCACCTGTCCAGACCCTCAGCATTTCCTTGCCCCCTTTTCTCCACTAGCCTCACCAACCACTCAAACAGACTGATTATCCTTCTCCCAAAATTCAATGCAAAAGCCTGTCTGTGCCACCTCATCTGCCATTAAATCACGCACATGCTTAGGGTGAATGGGGTTCATCCTGGGAAACAGAGTGTCCTCACCACTGTGGGCGTAACACTCCTCCAAGGCCAGGTCTCTCTCCTATTACTTGCTGCTCATCCTAGTGCCCAGTACAGAAACAACCCAGAGCACATGAGAAGTGTGCACAGAGCAGCGAGGAGACGGCAAGGACAGGGAAGCCAGCATCCACCTTGATGGGTACAGCCTGCACAGCAGGAGTTGGGGTCAGGTCCCCTCAGGAACAAGGAGTCTCCAGAGAAAGAGGCAAAGATAGCCACAGCTCAGGCATTGGAGGAAAATTCAGGGAATTCCAACTCACCTGGAGCCTGGTTTGCAGCAACAAACTGGCTGTTCCCTTTTCTCCTGGGCATGTCCCTGGAAGAAGAACAGAGAAGGGGGAACTAAGCTAATCTTTATGGTGTTTATAGCTCCCAGGCCCCCCAGCTGGAGATCCCTACACAACCATGAGAATCACCTCCATGCTTTGGGGACAGAGGGAGCTCAGGGGCAGCCTCTAACTGCACACATCACAGACAAAACCCCTGCACTGCCACCCCATCTGTCCAGGGCACAGTGGGCTGCAGGCAGTTGAAATGTAACCACAACGTGGCCACTCCTTTGGACAGTAAACCCTGCACTTCCAAAATGTAGGTCCTCTCCTAGGCTTTTGAAAGCATAAACACAGAGAAGACCTTCAAGGAACTTAAAGTCCAGCCTGCAGGGATAAGACTGGTTAACAGTAAAAACAAGGCCCAGTAAACCACAAGGAGGGACAGAAGACTTTCAGGGGAAAAAATATTCACCTTCCCTTGTCCTTGGCAACGCAGCCTAGTCCAGTTCTTCCTGAGAAGCTGGCCTCCCTGTTCCCAAGCACCCTTATGTCTCTGTGGCATATTCTGAGAGACCCTCTATTATAGGACTTGTAAATATTGACATTTGAAAACAAAACTACTCCCACCAGGGCCAGAGACATGGTTAAGGCCAACAACAAAGCAAACAAGTGGGAGGTGGCAGAGTACAGTGGAGCCGACACTTCTCAACCCAATGTGCAATGGATGCCTGAGGGTCCTGTTACATGGACTGTGGCTCAGGACATGTGGGGAAGGGCCCAAGAATCTGCATTCCCAGAGCTTCCAGGTGCTGCCAGGGCTGCTGGCCTACAGACCACACTGAGTAGCAAGCACCTAAGGGGTAAGGAGAAGGTGTGGGCGTCCCAAAGATTTGACCCAGTTCTGCCAGTGGCCAGGTCTGTGACCTTGGGCTTTTATGAGAATGAAGAGTTAAATTAAAATGTCTGCCTGGTGAAGAGCTGCACATTCTAACTTAGAAAAGAGTAGCTTAAAACCTCCTGGGTCACCTGGATTGCACTGTCCCCAACAACAAGGGGGTGGGGTTAGGTAGGAGGCTAGAAGGGCTGGAAGAGTCTTATTACATAATGAAGTGGTAAAGGACATGGGTGGCAAGGCTCCAAGGATCCCCACTAAGCCCTGCTCCTCACAGGTGTTTGCTCTTCCCCTGCCACAGCAGCAAGAGATCCTCTCCTGCCCTGCGCCCTCGCCTCTTGCAAGGCATGTCTTTGGGACCTGTCCTCCTGGCCATCCCTTCCACCTCCACTTTGGTCTCAGGATGCTGGGACTTCATGCCCCTGGGCCAGGGAAGGTAGTTGCAGACTCTGCCTCTCCAGTGGGATCCCCAGGCCTCTCTCTAGGGTCCTCTTCCTCCTAGAGTCCCAACTAACTCCCCAGGAGGGATTCTGGCCCTTTGCAAACTTGAGAGCAAACCTGATGCTGTCGAGTCCATAGCTGGGGCTAAAGGGCGACGTCCTTTCACTAGGTCCAAATCTCAGTCCTTCAGCACAGACCCTGAGGTCTTCTGGCTTCCTGAGGGTTCAGGAAGCGGGGAGCAAGCTGGGTGACAGGGGCATTCCCCTCTGGTCGCGATGTCCAGCCGCACAGAAAGGCCAAAGCAGGGTTGTCATACCATGCATGAGCCCCGCGCGGGCGGGGAGCGCGGGTGCCCTGCGCGGGGCTTCTGTCCCACTGGAGCGCGCGCTCTCCACGCCCGCAGCGAGCACCGCCAGGAGGCAGGGCCGCGGCCACTCCCGCCACCCAGATGCCCAGCGCTCCTCCGCCTGGAGAGCCTTAAGGGGGCACGGACGGACCCTGCTATTCTGTCCCCAGTTCCAGGTGATCACAGCCTCTCGCAGGCGGGCAGTGGAGGGACACTCCCACCTCTGCAAGGATGCTAGGGCGGTTTCCAGCGCAAGCTTGCGACCCCCGGGTTGCCGAAACCACAGTGTGCAGCGACCCCCACCCCCTGTCCAACTGCGCCTGCAGAAGAGGGTCCTGAGCCTGCGCAGACAAACCTCCGCAAGGTCGATTGGAAGAGCGTCCGAGGGCGGGTCCTCGGAATGGAATGAGCAGCGCCTGCGCCATGGCGAGCTTGGCGCTGCGCTGCACTGCGGTTTCGTCTATAGTTTTGCCGATTCCAGAGTGTCGTATGCTATCCCTCAGCTTAAAGCCCTAAGATACAGCCATGTCATCATGAGAATCAGTAGTCATTCCTTTCTGAGTCCAGCTGTCCTTTAAGAAGCTTGTCAAAAGGTCGTGCTATACAGCACATCCATTGCATCCTAATTACCAAAAACACATGATCACATCTGTTGCAGGGAAATACAGTCTTTATTCTTGTTGCCTGAATAAAATTCTGTTACTACAACAGATGGAGAGAAAGATCAGTAAGAGATACAAGATTTAGGAACAATATTGATAAACTGTCATTTATCCAGAGAAAGAGCATAGAAAGATCCTCTGTCTAAATCAAATTGCCCTAAGGAAAAGGCTTACTGTAATTTAGAAAGCCAAAGGAATTTTAAAAAACTGTAAGAAACACAAATGTGAATAATTGGTTGGTAATTTTGTTGGCAGGACTGGAGCAGTTTTATATAAGTGCTCTGTGTACTTTATCAGACAGAACCTCCTTAATGTTAGGGCACAACCAGCCCACTTTTTCCATTTACCTACTCATTTAGGATGGACTACAGATGCCTCATTGGTTGCCATTTGTGGGGCGGAGGGGAAAGATAATCAAGAAAACAAAAACATCAAAAAGCCAATCTGACCTGGATTCAGACCTATGGATCAGAAGTACTAGAGTTTTCAGCTATAGTGTAAAATTGTGCCTGAATATTTCTTACACACACACCCCTTCTCCTCCTTCTGATGACACACATGGGCCTCAGGAAAAGGAGTTCCTAGTAGAAAATAAAGAATATTACTACTAAGTGGCCAAACCCCTTTGGTAGGCCCAGCTTCACCTTCCCCACAGACTGAGTGGTAAGACTCAAAACACATCACTAAGGATCATGATATTCTGCTAAGGTGACACCTCCGAAAATGCAACATGGTATAAAGGAATGGTGCTTTCTTCAGAAAGACAGGAGACAGTCATATACATACATACATGTCAGGGGGAGAAAGAGAAATGCACAGAGGGCCTCCCTGGTGGCGCAAGGGGTTAGGCACAGCACTATGAAGCTGTCCACAACCTCTGCAGCATGAGTTCGATCCCCGACCCACCAGGGAGCTACCCACATGGCACAGCAGACCTCTCCTACCTGGCCTGCTGCTCCCCTCAGCAGTGTATTTCAGTAGATCTGCCTGTTCTGCTGCACACTCTGTCTCTGGTGAATCCTCTCACCCCCCACACTTCTGGCCTGTGCCCCAGTTCTTGTATGCATGAATAAATTTTTTTTAAAAAGAAATGCAGAGAAAGAAAGAAGTTGAATTGGAGGGATGTAGATCTGCATAGAGCATCAGGTAGCAGTAACAAAGAAAAGAGATGCTCAGAAATGTAAAGTCAAAGGGTGTCCAAGAAGAGGGGCCTTAGAACTGTAAGAGGTGGCCTGGGAGGAGAAGATTGGTGGTGGTAGCAACCTGCAGCAGATCAGGAGGTAAAAACAGGCAAGCAGAACAACAACAAGGCAAAAAAGTGATTTAAAGAGACACTCTGCAAAGCTAAGAGCCTGTATTGTCTGATTACAAGTGAAACCTCTTTCTATACCCCATTCCCTACCCCAACTCTCCCATAGAGAAACACTTGTAAAAGGGGAAGGCTGGCCCTCCCCTGGTGGCACAGCATTTAAGCGCTGGGCTGTGAAGCAGCCCGCAGCCTCTGCAGCACTGGTTCAATCCCCGGCTGCCAATGAGGGTCTCACATGGCGCGCAGACCTCTCCTGCCGTGTTGGCTGCTCCCCTCAGCAGTATATTTCGCCAGTTTGTCTGTTCTGCTCCCCGCTCTGGCCCTGGTGAATTCTCTCACCCTCCCGCCCTTCTGACTGTACCCAGTGCTTGTATAAATAAATAAAAATCTTAAAAAAAAAAAAAAAAGGTGGGGGGAGGAAGGCTAAAAATCTAAGGTTGCTATGTACCTTCCCCTTGAACCTGGGCAAATTTGTGACTGCTCAGCCAATAGAGTACAGCAGAAGTGACCCTATTGAATTTTCAGGTTAGATCATAAAAGTTCAGGTGACTTTTGTCTTGTTCACTAGGACACTTTCTTGGATTCCTGAGCTGCTATGTAAGAAACTTGATTACTCTGAGACAACCAAGCTGGGATGAAGTCTAAGCACAAAGAGAGGTCATGTGTAGGGAGGACTCAGATTTAACTCCCAGTTAAACCCAGCCATGGGTGCCAGTTCTAGTACCAGGCACAGTAGTAAAGAAACCATTTGACTCCTCTCACTTGAAGATCAGAGACAAGCCATCCCTAGTTGGTGGGCCTAGAACACATCTGTTTTATTCTAAATAAGATGGGTATGTGTTGTTTCTAGACTGCTCATCATCCACATGCCCTTCCCATCTCTTGAAAAAAATCAGATAAAATTCTCTTAATCTTTCCAGCAACATGGCAAATTGGATACCTTGAATGAGTTTCCTAAATGAAACAGCTAAAAATGCTGAAAATTTATAAAACATCTTTTATAAAAACACTGATGGCTAGGCAAAAAAGTGAGAAATTTACAAATATTTTTAAAAATAAGTGAAATTCAGAATCCTAAATGAGCAGCAAACCTGATTTTCACACTGCTAAGAGTTAGGGAATTGAAACTTCCAGACTGACAGCTAACTGGAGCACTAGAGATAACATGTAAGGCCTGTCCAAAGTGGGGGATTCTAGACAGAAACTCATGTAGGATGGCAACATTTCTGTTCTCAACATAAGGCTAAAGAGTAATAAAAACTACCATAAGAAGGGACCAGTAAGAAAAAATGCCCATCATTGACATCAGGACTTGAAAGTCCTAATCTAGGAAGGCTCAAACCCCATAGGGCAGTAACAAAGTCGGACTCAAATCTGCTTCCACATTATCAGTCCCTAAATCTTATTCACTAGCCACTCATCTTGCTACTAGGTCACTGCACTTTTATCCTACAGTCTATACTTTTGCAGGTGCTATTCTCTCCCTTAGATTTTACTTTCCTTTAAGAAAGTACTTGTCCTCGAGTGTACCAGTCATAGGAAACCTTTTTCAACTTTCCAAAGTATATAGTTAATTGCTTCCTCTGTTGTACTTCTTGGACGTGGCATTCTAATAATAGAACATTCTGTAATGATTTTACAGTAAGTTCGTTTGGGGACAATAACTGTCTTACTTATATTTCTAACAATACCTTGTCGATGGTAGTCAATTTAATTTGGTTGTTTGTTTGTTTTTGAGTGAAAGTCTAGGCTTGTTCCTGAAGTAGAATTTTATCACATTCTTTATGTAAACTCCAGTCTCCCGTGAAGTTTTAATTCAGAGGCGCTTAGCTTTTGGTGCACATTAAAATCACCTAAAGATATTTTCAACCTCGCTCCTCAGACTGGGCCCCAAGCATTAGTATCTAAACTTCTTCAAGTGTTTCTGGCGTGCAGCCAAGGGCTGACAATCCCAGCGATGTTTCCAAGCAGGGCTTTTCCACCAGAACCCAGCAAGGGAGGCTGGCGTGCTTTCAAACTGTCAGCAGTCGGGCCGGATTCCCGATTTAATACACAAAATAGCAAATTCGGGCTTACGCCGTGTCGTCTGAACCAAACTGCGCCTCTCCGGCTCAAATTTCAGAACCAAAAATCCTGAAAGTGAGCAAGCGAAGCAGAAACCCGTTCCTTCTGACCCGCAGAAGACTGGACGTGGTGCTGCGACGGTGAAAACCCCGGGTAGGGGACGGGCCTCAAGGACCGGAGACAGCTTTCCGCCAGAAGACCCGCCATCGGAGGCCTGGGAGGACGTCACATCCCACCGAGGCAGTATATCTAGGATGACCACACGCCTCCCTAGAATCCACGACTGCTCCCTCCACCGCCAACGCGACCTACTGGAGACCCCAACCCGATTGAGAGTCCCTTCTAACAAGCGGACGCTTGCGTCGCTATTGGACGTCATAGTAAAGCGCCCTGACCGCGCAGACTTCTGGGACCTGGAGTCCGAGCATAGGCCGACCATTGATTGGGAGCGCGGACGTCAGAACCCTCTACGCAGGCGCAGTGCTTTCCCACCCGAAGAGGCGCCGTCTTCCTGGGTCCCGAGCACAGTGCGCCGGAGGTGAGGGGTGTGGGTGTGTGTCTTCTAGGAGCGCAGCGAGCGCAGCGGCCGAGAGAAGGGGACACTGAGAACCTGGGGGAGGTGCTGTGGGAGTAGAACGGGGTGACGCAGGCTGAGCCAACCTGCAGTGTGTAGACAGTGTGCGGTGACGTTCTGGCTGGGAGAGAGACGTGCAGACGGAAAGTTGTTCTCCCCACCCCGAGAATGCGTGTGTTCCGTGGGGGTGTGGGCAGTCTTTCTGGGGGTCTTTCGGTGTGCACACACTATATAGCAAATCCCAGCTTCCAGGTTGGAAGTTCGGAGCCTTCCTCTGCTTCCCCCGTTCCTTCTTTCCACAAAGGATGCTTAATACGGAATTTACACTGAATCGAGAGTGCCATCCCCTCCAGTCGCTCACCCTTTCCCAGAAAGCGCCTCCGGTTGTCTCGTTTACCTCCCTCCCTACGTAGGCCTCCACTCGAGGTCTTTATGGAGGAGGTAGGATTTGATGTGGAAAACACAAACACATACACACACACACACACACACACGAAAGAAGTGGAAAAGCTTTCTGCAGATTTGAGGCAGGGAGATGGTTTTTACTGGAGTGTAGTGTGAAGGAATAGTGGGAGACAACGTGGAGAAAAGCCATGCCGCGGGCCATGCCTTGGAGGATCAGGACACGGGCAGGGTCATGCCTTGGAGGGTCAGAACAAGACACAGGCAGGGTGGATTGGATAGGTCTGATCCCGGAATAGTATTTTGAGACAGTATTCTAGAGGTCACATCCAGGACTAGAAGGAGGAGGGCTCTAGGGGCAGGGTGCCAGGTAGGAATGTGTGATAATGGTAGAAGTCCTGAAGCAAGTGGTTATAGACCTGAATTATAAAGGTGTCAGTAATAGGGAAGGGTACAAATGACATTGCAAAGAAAAGTGAAAAGAACTGGTGACTACATTTGGGATGAAAGCGAAAGAGATAAGAATTCAAATTTGGGGCACCACAGACAATAAATAGAACATCTGATAGAAATGTAAAGCCAAAGAGAAGAGTTGGAGTGGGAAATTGCCTAGGAGATGATGATCTTGAGGTGCTGCCAGAATGCCTAATTCAAAATTTGCAGTCATTTGGAAATGCAAGATGAGTTCAGAAGAGAGATAGAGGACAAGCCTTGAGAACCGTACTCTGAGAGGTGGAAAATTGAGCTCCTGGTGTGGATGGACTTTCTGAGGGCTAGCAAGAACAGAGTACAAAGACAGCCTTGATGGCATCCATATTTCTAGGGCAAAACAAGGGAACATCACAGAGAAATGCAATTTTAGTGGTAGGAAGAAAATTAGACTAATGTAGTGAGTGCCATATCAGCTAGAGGAAGCAGAGACTTGCCCCAACAGCCAAAAGCTAAAGAAGAAAGAACCATTGAAATTAGAGACCCAAAATGCATTGGTAATTTTCAAGCTTGCAGTTTCAGGTGTAAAGGGTGGCAAGAGCAGAATAATGGATTCTAGAAGAGTGGGGGGTGATGGTGTGGAGTCAACAGGTACATAGTACTCATCCAAGAAGTTTGATCATGAAAGGAAAACCTAAATGAGAATGATTTTATTACAGACAGATTCAACAAGGACAGTTTTACATAGAAGAGGATTGTATCTATTTGAAGATAGGGGAAGAAGCTATTGGAGAAATGGGAGATGCTAGAAAAAGAAAGACTGGTTAATGTTGGGAGCAGATTTTGGGAGGGAACAATAGGGGGAAAGTAGGACACTGATGCAATACACTGAAGTAAAATCCTGCAGACAGAGATACCTCTGTTTTGTTGACCTCACACCCCTTGCTGCCTAGTGCATAACAAGTGGTTAGACGTATTTTTGAATGTTGGAGCGAATAGGTTGGATGAATAGGTTGATGGATGAATAGGATGAACAGTAAGAAGGAAAGAAACATTCATTTATTGAACAGACTGTAAGATAGATGCTTTATACTAACCGTCTCATTTCCTACTTATAATGATTTCATGAAGTAGGAATTAAACTGTTAGCTTAAGTAACTTTCCCAAGCCTCCACAGTTAATAATTTCAGGCCTATGGAATGCTTTCTACCACCCAGTTCTGCCTCCCTAGGCTCTTGCAATACTTCAGTTTGGTGAAAGTGTCCTGCTGAAATTGAATGAAGTTTTGGAATAGATATCTCTGCAGCTGAGATGGGAGTAGTAAAAACTTTCTAGGCAAGTCTTCATTTGAAGAGGTAGAATAAGAATCTGAAGAGCATTTTCTTTAGAAATAGTTAAAGATCCAAGAATAATAGAAAAAGAGAAAACAAACGTGGAGGTGACCCTTTGCTGGCCGTGACTCCTGTGTATTTGATGGGTTTGAGGAGTCTTGAGTAACATTAAGAGCTAACTAAAGCAGCAGCTGGTGGATCTCATGGGGAGTGGTCTACCCAGCAGGGAGCCCAGGGTGATGAACACCTTGGGAGTGTCCCTGGTTGTTTAATGGCTGGGGAGCTATTGTGCTCACCACCATTTGTAATTTGTTTAACACTCAATTTATTAAAGTCATTATGTAATAAACGAAACTGTAAGCATTTAAACATTGAGCATTTTCAACTACAACTCCAGCTGATTGTTCAAAAACCTCAGATGCTTTATACAACATACACAAATACTTTGATTCCAAAGTTAATACTAATCTTACACATTTACATCACCAACAATACAGTGTAATTTATATTTTCATTATTTCTGCCTTCCTAGGATTATGATATAATTTTTAGCTAATGTTCACATTCATTTACAATATTATTCTAAATATTTTACACATACTGTACTATTTAAACTTTACAATCAGGTACTTTCATAATCTAGTTTTTCAGATGAGCAAACAGGTTAACATTGAGAAACTTGCCTGAGGCTGCACAGGTAGGAGAGGCAGAACTGGAATATGATTTCAGGCATTCTTCCAGAGCCTGTACTCTGATGACTATACTCTCCTGTATCTCTAAATACTAATTTTGACATCTTCCTAGGGCACAAGAGTAATATTTGAGACCCTCCTCTGGAGGAAAAGAATACTGTTTCAGGCTACTCAAATTGCAGACTCTGGTTATCAGCATGACATGATAATATGTATTCATTTTCATTGATGTATGGATCTCTGCCTCCTCTCTTCCTGAGGTCCTGGTTCATTTTTATAGTTACAATAAGCATGATTTTCCAGTGAGTTTTTTTAAGTTTTTGCTTTTCATAAAGTTTTAATTTTTGCGAACTGGTGTTTATCCTTAAAGTAATGTTATTTTAAAGTTTTGCTTGGCCTGTGTTAACCTGTGTGAATATATCAATATATTGATTATAGTCTTTTTGGCATTTTTGAAAACTTAACAGCACCATATTCATATCTTTTAATTAATAAAGCCAGCTGGTGCGCTGTCTCATAAAGGAGGAGGAATGAAGTCTATGTGGTCACTTTCCTTTTTAGCATCTGAGGTTGGTTCATTATTAGGATGCATGTTCTTTCTACCTGGCCCAGTGCTGGTTTGCCCTTCCTGTTTTGGGTACATGTTTCCTGCTGCTGGGGCTATTTGGCTCACCCCCCAGGTTTCTTTCTTCATCTTTTATGGATGGCTACAAGTATATATCCCAATGATAATCTGTTTATGAACACTCACACATTTAATCGAAAAATATCTACTTATTTATATAACTAAATACTTAAACATTGCCTTCTTATATTTCAAACATTTTATAAAATACTCCATATTTACTTTACTATTTTGAGTATGAAACTGACAGTCTTTTCAATATTCAAAGACACATTTTTACAAATGGCTTTTGGAAGCCAGATACATTCAGTTTTTCCTATCCAAAGATGTGGGAATAGCTCAAATTCCAAATATCCCAAACTATTTGTTAGCTTTCCTTCCAAACCCACTTTTCTGTTGCTCATCTCCATGAATGGCACCATTGTCCACACCACTGCTCAGATCAGTAACCTTATCCTTGCCTCTGAATGGCCTTCAGCTTCCGCTTCCACTCAGTCTATTGTCTGTTTTTAATGTCCTGATAGTAGTTTCCCTTCTCTCCATTTCTGTTACCTCTACTTTTGTTTAGCTCTTTATCATTTCTTGATAATTAATTGTGATCGTCTTCTTACTGGTCTACTCACCTCCATTCTTGCCCTCCTCTAGTTCCATTTTTGCCACAGCTACCTAGAGTCTGTGGCCACTTCTGTCCCTAAGATGACCCCAAACTTGGATATTTGCTAGAAGGGTTCAGGACTCAACCTATAATTGCACTCATACCTAAGATGATGACAGCAACCTTACAGGAATACACAGCCAGATCATAAGGGGAAGAGACAGTGGAGTCTGGAGGAATCCATGTGCTGTCTCCCTCATGCTGTTTCCCTCCCATGTGGAATTACACAGCACTCCCCCACCCCCAGCAATGAGATGCAGCAACGTATGTGTGATGTTTCAGCCCAAAGAAGCTCATTAAAGACTCAGAACTCAAGATTTTTGTTGTGGTGGTGGTCTGGACACAGACACCTTCTACCTAACAAACCAAAAATCTAGACCCGCTAGCAAGAAGGCAGGTATTCAGCCTATACCAAATTGCCTGCACATGTAATTTATATATCATGCACCAACCTTATGTCTTACTGAACTAGAATATCCTCCCCAAATGAAAATTCCCAACCTCCAGCCAAGTAGTCTCAGGTCTGCTATAATAATGTAACTATTATATTCTCAGCCATTCTAGAGCTTGCTTTCTTTTTCACTTAGTAATTTATCTCTTATTAACATGATGCTCTAGTTCATTTAATCCATGTATAATATTCTACATATATATATATATATATATATACAAAAAAAATCATACTTTATCCTGTTGATGAACATGTAAGTCAATTGCAGCTTATCACTAGTAATCTTTTCCCTGGTGATTTGTAATGTCACCTCTGTTATATATCAGGGTTCCCAATATGCTTGAATATATTTTGGATTTTCTATTCTAGTCCATTCGTTTTTATCTCTGTGACTATCTTTTCATGAAAATAGAGCATAGATTAAAAACTGCCAGACAGACCTGGGTTCAAATTCTCAGCCTCTTACAAAAGTCCAAAGGTCCCTAATCTAAAATAGTACCTACTCATTGATTTATGAAAATAGAATTAAATTACCCTGACAAAAAGTATTAGGCACAGTGCCTGGTAAATAGAAAATGCTCAATAAATGCTAGTTTATTAATATGTTTAATGGTATTCCACTGTATGAATGAACTGAACTGTAAGTTATTTAATGAATAATTTAATAAATGAATTAGTTAATGAAATTTCCTGTTTTAGAAATAGGGTAATTCAAATTTTCACCTGTATTACTCTACCGGTGAAATGACGATATGTGTACCATGTCTAGGAAGTTGCCTCCCTTAGTGTTCTATCTAGATGTTAGTGACTATTACACAGATCTGATGACTGCACTCCCATACTTGAGTCCTCTCAGCCCCCCATGCCAATGGAAAAGGGATCATACAAGCTCTCCTTGATCTGACTAATCTTATCTTTTCCCTCATCACTGCTCAGAACCTAGATATCCTCCATTGTAAACTAATTACAGTCATTAATCCTTCTTGTGTAAAGATCTGTGTCCTTGTTTTTGGAATAGTTGTTTTTCTTGCTTAGACTCTTCCGCCTTCTCCCCCAAATCAAATTTCATAGTAGATCCCATTCCTGCCAACTTGCAGTTTTCCTCCCTCCCTCTTGTCTGGGTTAAGCAACCCTCTGATGGGCTCACATAGTTTGCTATGCTTTTTATAGCCTTTATCCATCCTGCAGTGAAGTATTATTTTGGCTACTTGCTCGGCCTATGTACTAGGCTGTAAGCTTTTGGAGGACAAGGACAATGTCATACAGTGTTTGTGCCTGTATAAGTAATTGGTGCTGAATAAATGTTGGTTGGTTACATGGGCGCGAATAATAAGGACCGGTGAACGTAGACCCTTGCCTGCCCGAGTGTAATGAGCCACGAGCACAGCTTTTCCTCCTTCCCAGGGGTCACTCTCTCCTGTCTCACTAATGGGTGCTAGAAATGCTTGATTTAATGAAATTTTCTCTTGATTCTTGATTGTAAGAAACTGAGGTGTGCTCAGCTAACTCAAATAAAGGGAGTTTAGTGATATGGATTCACACAAAACCTAACAGGGTTAGAATCTCTTGGAAATCAAGAATGAATGAGACTAGTCTACCTGCACAGGCCAGGATCAGGACCCCAGACCAGGAACTCTTGGGTCTTTGCTTCAGTGCTTCACCACTGATGTGACTAGGCTATCCTTCTCCTGCCTGCATCTAGTCTCTCTGTTATATCCTCTTCTCTACCTCCTACCTCCCACATACTCATGGTTTCTGCTTCCTGGTGATTTTGGCTCCCCTGATCCTCATAACAACTCTGTCCCTCGTGATGCCCTTTCAGCTCATCACCTACTTGTCATGATATTTCCTAGTTCACATTCCTAAGGAAGGATGTCATCTTCTCAAGTGCAAACATATCTTAGACTACTGATCAGCCTGTGCACTGGCCACCTATGGCCTCATCGGTATGGCTGGGGAGTGAGAGGCAGGGCCATGGGGAGCAAACGGTGGCTGCACAAGCACTACTCCTTCAGCAGAGGGTTGTGAATGGGTTATTTTTCTTTGAAAAAACTATAGGTGTTTACTTGACATGTCTTCTCCATAGAGTCATTTACAAAATTTTTTATTATCTAGTTATCATTCAGCACAATACTGAATGTGAATTTGTAAATATAATCTGAGCCTTAATATGGTCTTTCCTCTTAGGAATAGAACTTTGCTTCTAGGATCGTGGTAGAATAAGAAACACATTCTGTGCTAAATGGCAATATTATGGCCTTTTGCTTGAATTCTGGAATAAAGTGAGCTTGATCCTGGCTTTGCTCTACTTTACCTTCCTTTTTGTAGGCTATAGAAAATGAAGGCAGGTATATTACTTACTGGTATATGGAGATTTCTTGCTTCATGAGTCAGAACACTATGAAACAAAACTAGTCTTTCTCTTACCTTCTTTCTCATCTTCCACCTCTGCCACATTAGGACTCTGCCCTTTCCTACAAGAACACAAAGGAGGGAATGGCAGCTGTGTCTCCGACTGCCAGATGCCAGGTGAGGTGGACCTTGTGTTTCTGAAATATTCTATTAGTCTCCGGATGTAAACAGTCTTCTTTCACCATCCTGGAGCTCCTTTGCTCAAACACAACTAGGTGCATGGAGGATTCCACAGACAGGGCTTCCTTCCCATTTGGGGCCTTGCAGGAACCTTTTATTGCATTGAACATGTGCTCATTAGCCTTTCATCAGGCACACAGTCCCTGTGGCATGCACTCAGTGATTTTGTCTACAATCCAAATGTGTGGGTCTGAAGGGGAGGTTTGGAGAACAGCGGGCTGGTATTAATCCCATGTTCCAGGGAGCACTGGGTTAGGTGGGGGAATGTGACACATGCTTCAGGGCACCTCCTTGAGTTTTAAGAGTCCTGAAGAGAGTTTTGTGAGGGGATTGTGACAGGCCCCATTCCTGCCTAAGGGAAGAGTGTCTTGAATTCCATATTCTGATACTGTGATCTACAAAACATACACTGAGATATTTGGAGGTAAAAGTATATTGTGTATGAAAGTTATTTTTAAGAAGTTCAGGGAAAAAGGCAGGAGAATGTATCTATGGAAAGAGACAGAAAGATAAAGCAAATGTAGAAAATGTTAACATTTGGGTACATAGGAATTCATTCTTCTATTCTTCCAAGTTTTCTGTAAATCTGAACAAAGAGACCCTGATATTTAGAGGCTCGGGTATAATATAGTGGTGTGGGACTATGAACCAAGAAATTCATGCTTTGGGTGAATTATGCTACTCTCCCCAAGTAATTCAAAGCCCTACATTGTCAGAATCATGTCCCATCCCTCACTCCACATATTTATGACAATTTTGTCTGGCCTGTGTAAAGAAAAGGGTCTTAAGTAGGGAAGAATGTGATTTTATTTCCAGGAAACAGTGACATTCGAGGATGTGGCCGTGATTTTCACAGACGAAGAGTGGAGCCATCTGGTGCCCATTCAGAGGGATCTGTACAAGGAGGTGATGCTGGAGAACTATAGGAGCATTGTCTCATTGGGTAAGGAGAGCATCCCAGGAGTTACACTCTGTACTGTGTTAATGTGGGTTGCCACCTCTTCTCTTCCCACCTGAGAGAGAGCATAGGAGAGTATAAGGACATGCCTTAGGTGTGCAGCAGCTGTGGGCTTCTTAATCCTGAATCTCAGCAGGGACAGACCTGCTCCCTGAGCTGTCAGCAGGGACAATCCAGGGGCCCTCACTGAGCAGCCTGCCCTCAAAACAGAGGGCTGGGGCCAGCAGAATGTCTGCCTGCTGCAGGGAGCTGGCTCCCCCGAGGAGGGTGAGCAGAAGAGGCTGAGTTAACATTTGCCCATTTCTCCCAGCTCATCAGTTAGGTAACTTACTCAGCACTGCCCAGGGTACTAAGGGTGGGACAGGGTCTGTCTTATTGAGGGAACAGTTCTCATAGAAGCAAAGGAGTGGGCAGGGATTGTTTCTCTTTAAAAAGAGGGTGGTATAGGGTTAGGGATACAAAGTGTGCCTCAGAGTACATCACTAGAAATGCTTGACTTTGAACATTTGTCTTAAGTGCAGTCTTAGAGCGCAGCCCACAGAAAGCACTTCACAATTTTAGAGACTTGTGTGACCAAGGAAAAATGAAGAGCTACTGCTGATGTCAGGTGTTTATGGGAAGTCAAGCCAGGCTCCTTTGGTAATGAGCAACTCCCGAGAGCATCAAGAATAAGATGCTCACAGTGGGTACATTCAGAAGCAGGCTTACCATGGGCAGCAAATGGAAGCAGTAAACAGTCACTTGGCAGATGTCAAGCAAGGCAGGTCAAAAAAATGTTGTTATCACCTGGATTAATTTAAACAGGCCAAATATAGAATATAGAATAGGATGTTGATGGGGCATTAAGCAGCCTTGAGTCTTTGTCACAGGCTTTGGCTGCATGAAATATTGGGGAAAATAGAAATCCTAAGGAAGTTACAGGGTACTGTGACCAAAATATGGCCATTTTGTCAGCAGAGAATTAGTATACAATCCAATAGAGGATCCTTGGGCCCAGTGTGAAAGTGCTTTTCTTTCTCAAGTCAGAGGTCCCAATTCAAGGCAAGTTTAGATCTTGAGACTATTTCTAGGAGGGGATCTACTTTATATAGTGAATACATTCACTGTTTGAAATTTGTCCTATGGAAATAATAGAACAGCCCATGGTGTATTTGACCATAGCATTGTTTGTTAATAGTAAAACAGTCTAGGGCCTCCCCGGTGGCGCAGCGGTTGAGCGCTGGGTTGCAAAGCTGCCCGCAGCCTCTGCAGCGCCGGTTTGATCCCTGGCTGCTCCCCGGCCTCCGGAGGAGGGTCCCACATGGCGCGCAGACCTCTCCTGCCGCCCGCTGCTCCCCTCAGCAGTGTACTTTGGTCCTTCTGCCTGCTCTGCTCCCCGCTCTGGCTCTGGTGAATTCTCTCACCCTCCTGCGCTTCTGACTGTACCCAGTGCTTGTATGTATCAATCAAGCAATCAATCAATCAATAAATCTTTAAAAAAAATAGTAAAACAGTCTAGAATGTCTGTCAGCAAAATATTAGTTAAATGAATTATGTTATTCCATATAATGTAATGCCACGTAGCCATTAAAATGGTAAGGTATATATGTGCTAACTGAAATAAAATATTTTAAATGTATTATGTGGAAAAAATCAAATTTATAAATCAGTATTATTTCATAATTCAGTTTTATTTTGTTTTGTTTTTAGTGAAGCTTTTCTATCCAAAAATATCTTTCATATGTAAAATGAGCCAGTGTGATATGTATTATATATTTAGTGGATCATGAGGAATTGCAAATTATTTGTGAATGTCAAAATAAATCAAATAGAAATTATTTGGGGTGGGGCAGTCTTATTTTCTAAATAAGACTCAAGTAATTATTTCTTTTTGAGATATGATTGTCATTCAGTGTTTTGTTTTGTTTTTAAGATTTATTTATTTATTTATACAAGCACTGGGTACAGTCAGAAGCGCGGGAGGGTGAGAGAATTCACCAGAGCCAGAGCAGGGAACAGAACAGGCAGACCGACGAAATACACTGCTGAGGGGAGCAGCGGGTGGCAGGAGAGGTCTGCGCACCGTGTGGGACCCTCGCCCTGGTGGCCAGGGATCGAACCAGCGTTGCAGAAGCTGCGGGCAGCTTCGCAACCCAGCGCTCAACCGCTGCACCACTCGGGAGGCCCTAATTGTCATTCAGTTTTAAGCAGAACCTATCTATAGCTATCTTTTTGTATCAAAATGAGTAGAAAGAAAGAAAAATATGAATAAAGTAGAAAAGGTGATTTAAATAAAAGCATACTAAAAAGTAAACTAACAAAAATGGACACCTTTACATTTCATATTTTTACTTAAGATCATCTTTTTTTTAATTCTTATCTTCCCAGATCCAAGGATTATTCTAATCCTACCAGAGCTAAAGTTAGGAGTGTCCCATTCCTGCATGGGGAAAAATAAACACATTAATTCAAATGAAGTTTGTCAACTTTCTGGCCAAGTGCTGCTTACTCCTTTTTTAGGCCATTTGACTTCCTTTCAGAGGCACCTGCTGTCTTTTGCACTTCTTTGTATTCTATATTCAGGCATGAACTTTCTGCCTTTGCATTTTCACTCTGCAAGACCTAGAGACTAGGGTTAAGTTTTGGGATAGTTGTTTATTTTCATCACCCACAACCACCTGGCTTGTTTCTTTCTCCCTGAGCAGGACTTCCAGTTCCTCAAGCTGAAGTAATTTTTCAGTCAAAAAGAGGGGATATTCCTTGGATAATTGATCTTCATGGATCTAAGGAGAGAGAATGTCCAGAGAAGATCTCTCTAGGTAATTGAGCATGAACAGGGCAGTTTTGTTCTGTGGCTGTTATTTGAATATGCATTAAAGGGAAAATTGGGCATCACCTTTTTCTCAAATTCAGGTTTTCTGCTTTAGTGTTTATTTTCTAACACCCACCAACTTTCATTTTTCTCACTATACCTTCAATTATTATCTATCTTTACTCACCAGATATTTTTTTTTTCTCAGCTCTGTCATGTTGATATGCCTTTGATATTCCTGTTCCTCACCATCCCCACCATGATAGGACTCTTCTAATTAGCCTGGCCATAGTCCCATTGCAAATGTTCCTCTCTTCTAAATTCTGGTCCCTCGCTTCTTGATTTCTAAGTCTTGAAATAAAATATTTTAAATTTATTATGTGAAAAAAATCAAATTTACAAAACAGCGTTATTTCATAATCCAGTTTTATTTTGTTTTGTTTTCAGTGAAGCTTTTCTCTCTACCACATAAGACTATTGGTAGAAGCAAGTTGATGCAATGTCTATATATTACTTTCCAGATTTATCATAGTACCTGTTGTATTAGAAGGGGGGTGCTGTAATATTTCCCAACCCAGGGGGGGAAAAACTGCATCTGTGTTTTCTGTCCATTCCAGACTGGGAGGCTAAGTCTGAGATTCAAGTTGCTTCAGATGAAGAAAAATCAAAAGGAACATTGAAGGACAGGCTTGGAAGGAAAAGTCCTCTGTGTCCTAAATTTGAAGATCTGACTGTGGAGGATGACTTGGAGACAGAGGAGGAAAGCCCTGCAGTAGAAACCTGCAAAAATTCCCTTTCCTCGGAGGAAAGTTTACGGCAAGGGTCAACCCCTTCCAAGAAAATTCTCCCTAAAGAGAGAGACCAGGAATGCAGTGACTGTGGAAAGAGCTTTTTTGACTACTCATCCCTCATCCGACATCAGAGGACTCACACTGGAGAAAAGCCCTATGACTGTCATGAGTGTGGGAAAGCCTTCAGTCACAGGAGCAGTCTCAGTAGACATCTGATGTCTCACACTGGGGAGATCCCTTATGAATGCAACGTGTGTGGGAAAGCCTTTTTTGACCGTTCATCCCTAACTGTTCATCAGCGAATTCATACTGGAGAGAAGCCCTTTAAATGCAGTGAGTGTGGAAAAGCCTTCTTTGACCGTTCATCCCTTACTCGACATCAGAGAATTCATACAGGAGAAAGTCCTTATGAATGTAATCAGTGTGGGAAAGCCTTCAGCCAGAAAAGTATTCTTACTCGACATCAGCTAATCCATACTGGAAGAAAGCCTTATAAATGTAATGAGTGTGGGAAAGCCTTTTATGGCGTCTCATCACTGAACAGACATAAAAAAGCTCATGCTGGAGAGCCTCGTTATCAGTGCAACCAGTGTGAGAAAGCTTTCTTTGACCGCTCCTCCCTTACACAACACCAGAAGATTCACACTGGAGACAAGCCATATGAATGCAATGAATGTGGGAAAGCCTTTAGCCAAAGATGTCGGCTTACACGACATCAGAGAGTTCATACAGGAGAGAAACCCTTTGAGTGCAGTGTGTGTGGGAAAGTTTTCAGTTCTAAGTCATCAGTTATTCAACATCAACGTCGTTATGCCAAACAGGGAATAGACTGAGTTGGATGAAAGCTTTAGTCAGACAAAGAGCCTTCATAAAATCTAGGGTAGGTCTTCATCACTTGATCATTCTATCTTTTCTGGCTACTACCATCCTCTCCGTCTCTGCTACCACAGTGTTTGATTTGAATAAACACTACCTACTATGTTACAGAACTGATGTGGGATGCTGGAAATTAGGAGATGTGAGTCAACATTTTACAGAAGTTTGTCAGACAACTGGATAAATGTTAGTAGGTGACCTTCAGACATACCTCCTGCCTGAGGCCCCAGGTATTACTGCACTTTAAATAACCGCAGGCTACAACAGGAGGGAGAAGGCAAGATTATATCTGAGCAGCATTGTTGTTTCCAGGTAGTTCTTTTTAGAATTGCTAGTCCCTCTCTCAGAGCTTTTTTGGGTGCCAACCTTGTTCTTTTGTGTCCCAGGTCACTACTATTACTAGCTAGAACTTATTGAGCACTTATTATGAGTTAAACACTTAGCACTCAGTTAAAAGAGTTTTGCAAGAAATAGATTTTTTTCTTTCTCCCAACAACTCTATAAATTGAGTACTATTATCTTCACTTTACAGATGAGCAAACAAGTCTTTTAAAGGGATTCAATAGTTTGTCCAAAGGTCACACAACTAATAAAAGGTGAAGCTAGGTCTTGAATACAGGTCTATCCTTAAAGTCTATTCTTTCTACTAGTTTGCTATGAGACTTGTTTAATAATTTATGTACATGATTGTACATAACTACATAGATTGTAAGCATTGGGAAGCATGACTTATGTCTTTGTATTTCACACAATGCCTTGCCAAATAATAGGTGCTCATTAAATATTTGTCTAAGTTAATGACTTTTCCATTTACCAAGTTCTATTTAAAACACTTCTTTCTCTGAATTTTTACTCTAGCCTATACTGTTATGATTTCAGGCTCCCATTAGTGAAGTAGTCAAAAATTCCAATTTTTAACTATTATTGAAATGGATATTCTAAGTGATGGTGCCATATAAGTAAGCCTCCAAATCGAGGTTCATTCCTCACATACAATCTGATGTGACTCTGTCATATCCCATCCTCATTACTTAGAACATATTGCCTCCAAGGTCAGCACGGAGAGATACCTGGAGGATATTTTGAAGGACCATCACTTAGGTCCACAACTCATAAATCGGAGCCTAGCACCAAACAGCTAGGAAAAGCAGATAAGAGCCACAATATTTGGTTAACACCAAGAAGCTCTGTCACAATTTATATTTTGCACATCACTATTAGGCCAGTTTTTCCAAATGACCCCTTCCTGCCCATCATTGCTTTACTCAGACTGAAAACAGCTCCCTATTATTTAATGAGTAGAGAGTAGAGATCAAGGATCTCTACCTTGATCCAAATTGCTGAACTTTAAGTCTTGACTCCAAAAACTTCTATCCCCTGGACCCCGCCAAATATTTTTATTTTATTAATCATCAGGTACTAGGCAACTTTGACTCTGGACATTGCATTTCCTTCCTAGTTGCTTAAAATGAAGCCTAGAAGAGGACTGGATTCCAATAGGCTATCTGGAATTTAGCTTGCTCTCCTTGAATCCCAGTGGACCAAGATGCATTTTCCTTGAGAGAGTCAGATTCAAGAGGCTGGACTGCCAAACAGTTCCCTTCCCAACAACCCTATGTCCACATTTCTTAGCGCAGATGAGTGACAGGAAAGACTTTTTATGTGTAGACTTGCTAAGCAACTTGAAAAACACTTAAGAGTGTGGATAATATCTGAATCTATTTAATGTCAAATAGAAAATAAAAGACACTATTGACAAACTTTTGACTAATGACTACCTCAGAGTTCTGAATCTTCACTGCTTGTTAAAAAAAATTGAAGGTCAAATATTTCCCTAAGGTATTCTGCCATTGTCAACAAGATGAGATTAAAATAGATTCAGAATTCTAATAGGTTTTGAGTACAGTGATAACTGCAACAGAGTAGGGACATAAATATGGTAGTTCTCCCAGGCTGAAGAAGTCATTTACAGTGAACCAGGAGAGGGGGCTATGTCTAATCTCAGAATACCACAATCAAAGTTAACTCCAGATATAACTCATTCATGAGTGGTAATCCTTTAGTAAAATAGAAGACATGGGTTTTTATCCCAAGGTATTTCAACTTGACTGTACTGCTGTTGACATCAAATTAGATGCTTGGGTCAGTTGCTAATGTCTAGAGCCACATTATTCTATATAGAGCCTATTCACATAAAAAGCAGGGTTATGGCAGAAGTCCAAGTTTTCCAAAAGCACACAAATGAAAGCCAAGAAAACCAATGACAGCCATATTTGTTTCAGGCACATATACCTTCTCAACAAGAGTATAACTCTCATTCAGTTATTGAGCGTCTAAATACCAATAAATAATCTAGGGATACTCCTTGTCACATGGAGTATGGAGTATACTCCTTGTCACATGTGTTAATGGGAGACATGCAATAAAGTAATTATGTTATAAAAAGATAAGTGCTATAAAACAAAGTAGTATGGTCAGAGAAGGTGAATAAACTTCAGGGAGGTGAGAGAGCAAGTCTGATATCTGGGGAAAGGATATCCAGTTAGAGGAACAAACAAAGGCTCTGTAGTGGACACATGTTTGACCTTATTGAAGTATGGTGAAGAGGTCAGTATGCTGCAGCACAACAAATAAGGGGAAAGTGGTAGATGAGATCAGAGAGTTAGTGGGTGTGGATGATGCAGATTATGGCCTTGTGGGCCACTGTAAAGAACAGCTTTTGTTCTGAGATAGTGGAGGCACTGTTAGAAATATAATGTGCAGCGCAAGAGTAGGAGTGAGATCAGTTAGTAGGCACTTGCAGTGATCTGGACAAAATGACATGCTTAGAAAAGGGTGGCACTGGTGGAGGTGGTAAGACATGAGAGTCTGCATATAATTTCAGAGTACAGCTAAGAGGATCTGCTGAAGAACTAGATGTGGGTTGTAAGATAAAAAGAACAATAACTCCAAGGGGTTTGAACTGAGCAAATAGAGGGATGGGGATGCCATTGACTGAAGGGGGAAAACTGCAGGTGAAAGAGGTATGACAGTAAGGGAGGAAGGGTATCAAAAGTCTTGTCTTGAATAGGCTACATTAGAGGTGTATATTTATTAATATACATTAATAAATTATAATTTCATTTATTAATATTTATTAAACATTCAAGTAAAGCAGTTGAGGAGCTAGCCCAAGGTCAGAGGGGAGAAACAGGCTGGAGATATAAACTGGGAGCTCACTACCTGTGGGTGGTATTAAGAACACCTAGACTGAACAAGATTACTAAGGAATAAGTGTTGATCGAAAAATAAGGAAGCCTAAGGACTGGGCTCTGGGATAGTCCAACATTTAGTTGGTTCCCAAATGAGCTGCTTTTGCATCACTTTGGAACTTGCTAGAAATGGAAATTCTCAGGTCCCACTCCAGACATTCTGAAAAGAAGCAGAGTTTAGCACTGCTTTATAGCAAGCCCTCCAAATGATTCTAATTATGCTATAGTTTGAGAACCACTTGTTCAGAGGCTGGGGAAACCAGGAGGAACTACTTAAGGAGACAGAAAGAGGTAACCAGTTGAAGAAAATCAGTGTTTTTCAGGAGGCGGGAATATTCAGTTTTATCAACTACTATTGACATAAAATGAGAGAACTGAGAATTGACCATTGGTTTGCTAACAAAAGAAAGATTTCTGTGATGGGGATGGTTAACAGAAGGAAGGTAATCCCTGTTGTTCCAGGCATGTCAGCTAGCAATGCCTTTCACAATCATCATTTTTGGAAAGAAAACGTCCACTCCATATCTCCTGCTGATGAAAGGGGGCGAGGGAAGGGATCCCCCCAGCTGTTCTTTTAGCTGTCAGGGTCGTATTCTCTACCTGTCCCCTCTCCTCCCAGCCCCAGCTGGGAGCAGCCAACCTATAGAACAATTAGGAGATAAGTGTGGCTATTTGTGTAGCAGAAACACAGTAAACTAATGGATGATACAAAACAGGTTTACTTTTTTCTCAAGTTAAAGCCAGAGTTCTGTTCCAACAACTTGTCTGAGGTTTTCTATTCCTTCTATAAGATTGGTTTGCAATTCTTAGGGTGTTAATCTTGTCCTCGTGGCTCATGATCACTTGTCCCTATGCAGCCAGCCTGAACCAACCTTCCTCTTCTCTTGCTCTGGCAAGAATCACTCTTGCTCTGGCAAGAAGCCGTGATGAGGAGAAATGTAATCTTTACCCTGGGAATCTTGGGTGGGCCTAGCTACTATCTGAGGACTGTATAGAGAAGGACATTATGGCTTGTACCCAAACAGGGACAATTAAACTAGTTTGATTTTCTTTCTTTCTTCCTTTTTTTTTTTTTTTAACATTTTTAAAAGGACTGGTTTATTAGGAAATCAAGAAAGAAAAAAAGAGGCACCAGCATAGGCACAGGCAAGCAAGGGAGCTGCCAAAGCTAGTTTGATTTTGTCTTGGGAATTTGAACTGGTTAAAGAACTGGCTACTTTATTGTGGAAAAATAAGCACGAATACACGCTAGTCTGAAGATACACACCCGCTCCCAGCCTTCCCTCAGCAGCTAAGGACGGACTCCGGGGCGGGTGGAGGCGCTGCCCTCTGCGGGTTTTGGGGTGGGTTACAGAACGCCCCTCGGAAGACGGAGTTCGCCGCGGACGAGCACCTCTCCGCGAGCCGCAGCTCAACATCGGCATAGAGGAAGGGGCGTGCCCAGGAAAAGGGGCGCTTTCGGAGGAGCAGAGTTCCCGTAAACCCGGCCCGGAGCCCGCCACCGCGGCAAACCGTCCCGATCGCGGCTGGCCCCCGAGGGCCGTGCCGCGGAGGGCCCTTCGGGAAGCGGCGTCCTCTGCGAAGTGATGGCCTCTGGGAAGCGGTGTCCAGTGACGCAAGCCGCGCTCCGCAGAGCATTCTGGGAGTTGTAGTTCAGTGTTGCGTCCGGGCCGCCGC